TCTTCCACGTACCTCTCTGCATTTAGAGTTCCATTTTGAATGAGTACCAGCTCGGTGCGGGCCTCAGTAGTAATCCCAGCCCAAACTTGTACGGAGCCTCCACCGTACGCCACTTTTTCCTCCACACACGCTTGATGGAAGCGCTCCCCTGGTCTTCTGTACACCAACTGCCTACCATCATGCTTATAAAGCATGAATTTAGACTCGTCCGTGAACATTACCCTAGTTTCTACCCTGGTTTCAAATTTGCTTCAGCAAGACGTCTTCTTACTGTTTGAGCGCTTAAATTGCCACCTCCAAAGCGAATAAAGTGAGTTTTTAGACCAACAGCAGTTTGAAAACGATTTCGGAGCATTGTAGCCACCAGTTGTCTGTCTTCCCTGGCCGTTGTGCATCTTGGTCTGCCATTTCCTGGTCTTCTAAGGTGTGATCCGATCTCTTGGTACCGCTGGACTACCCGCTGAACAGTCGACAAAGATACACCAATGTTTCTGGCTGTTTCACGCAGGCTCCGCCCAAGTTCCAAAAAAGTTAGGATTCTGGTACATTCCTCTAGCGAGACTGCCATGCTTCACCTCACAGAATAATAATTATGCACGTGGAAGACGTTCACGATAATTTTTTTTGTGACAGAATAGAAATGGAAAGCATTTATAATGAAATGAAACAAAAATTTTGTTTTTAAAAATAGTCATTTTTTTAAATTTTGTTTTTCTAATGAAGTTTTTTTCATCAACCAGTTTAAATAATATGCTATTAGAAGCGCAACTAAAAAGTCTTTATTCTGTTTTTTATTTCATTGATCTAACTTTTACAGTTCTGGAGGTATTTCAATTTTTGTGACTGACCCGTAATTTTTGGAACCGAGTGTAGTAAGACGTCGGAGTAGAGTCGATGCAAACACCTTGTAGACTCACGACGTGAGGCTGATTGGTCTGTAGTTTGATATTGATTTCGGGTCTCCTTTTTTGAAAAGCAAAACGATCTCTGAGCACGTCCACTGTTTAGGTATTTTTTTTGTTGATAGTATTATATTGAATAGGTTTGTTAGTGGCGAAGTGAGAGTGTTTGTACCGACAATTAGCATTTCGTTTGTAATACCATCAGATGCTGGGCTTTTTTCGGGTTTTAATAACTTTAACGAGCATTCGATTTCATTTATATTAAATACTGGTACTTCGTCATTGTTTTGAGAAACTCTTTCCTAGTTTTTCCTGGTTTGTGATATCTTGTGATGCATACGGTTGCTGGTAAAAGTTTGTGGCTTGATCCCATCTCTGCTCGTAACTACAGATTTTTTCTCGTTTTGAAGCTGGTTCATCACGTGTTTTGAGTTGGTTAGATATTTATACGCCCTTTTAACTGCTCCAGATTATCTAATGTGATTTTCTATAATATTGGCTCTATATTGTCTCATATTTTTCTTAATCTGTTTATTTATTTGTCTATATAGCTTGCTAAGTTGAGTTTTTTCACTTTTTGTTGTATTATTACTTTCTTCCTGATGTTATAGTTTGATGATGCAAACTTGATGCTAGTACGTTCAGCGCTCTGTAAGATTGTTTTCTCTATAATGTCGTAGTAGTTTTGCACAGATGTTATCGTGTCTGGCTCTATGAATTTATTGATTTCTGCTGTGTATATTTTGTAGTCAATTTGTTTTCGTGCTGTTGTAGAGAAGTTTTACGTGGTAGGTGCCTGCGCTCAATATTGATTGTTATTCTAACCATGCGGTGGTCACTTGGGTGGTGCACGCTATTTATCACACTGCAGTTTTCTATAATGTTCGGTTTGTTTGTGGCAATGAAGTCTATTTCGTTTCGAGTATAACCATCAGGTGACAGCCAAGTCCATCTTAGTTTTCTAGGTTTTCTGAAGAGCGTGTTAGCTATTTTCAAATTATTCTGAAGGCAGAATTGAACAAATCTTTCACCTCTCTTATTTCTTTTACCGTATCCGTAGTTACCCGTCACTCTGTTCTCACCTCCTGCTGGTTGTCCAATTTTAACGTTCATGTCCCCAAGAAATATAAAATGTGGGTTGCTTATCTCCAATAATGTATCTAGGCTGGTCATGCAGGATGGTATAAGCTTTGTGTCAAATTCTCCTGTCTTTGCAGTGTTGTTGTCCTCCTTTAGTCGGCTCTTACGACATCCACGGGATTAATATGGGTGGTGAATCTCCGTATTCTTAATCTGTCACCAAACGGATAACTTACTCGCTACATTAGATGTTTAATATTAGCTAAATTCATATTTTTCCATAAATATTACAAAATATGCTAATTTAAAACATTAAGTAACAGATACGGACATGGGTATACATCTTTTTACTCTCTCGGACATCTATTACACAGATATCTGATACATCACTAGAAGCTACGAGAATTGTCACGAAACATCACGAACATTCCAGAAAAATCATTATACTTGGCATCGTTTAATAATAATGCAGGTTGGCACGGAACAAAGAGTTTAATAACGCGATTATCTTAAAACGAATTTCTATTTCTCAGAAGCGGACGGATCTCTTAGGGATTGGAATTTGCTAGAATGATCTTTTACGAGTATTATAAATACGGACACGTCTTCGTTGAGTTCGATTAAAACTAATAGAAGTGTGACCTAGCGACCTCGGCGATAATTCCGGACTATTCTTTAGTGTTGTTGAACGTTTTTAAGTGTAGTGATAATAAAGTATCTTTACTCAGAACATTTATTATTCCAAATCAACGAACTCCTTACACGTGACACTATTACATTAAATAATAATTTACTTCGTAGCTAAATATATATGTATAAAAATTAAAGAAATTTATTCCATCCACTGAGCTCCAGTAGATGAAACCTATTTTATAAATAATATATGTATGACGGAGGACCCATATCTGGGTTGTTTTTTAAATAGAGTGACGTACAACTACAGATGTCTACCAAGTTCTTACACACAGTCGTACATTGATCCCTACAGTAGTAAATAAAGGCAACAGTAAATACAGTTAGATGTATTCCAAGGTCTCACCAACAGTTGTACGTAGATCCAACAGCCCGACAGCTTGAGCGAGGTTAAAATAAAACAATGTATAAAAAAAAACGTTTATTTTCTTCTTTTCAACAACAACGTTTAACAGACATTGCAACACAAAAATAAAGCGTTAAAAATAAGTGTCTCTACCTCAATACTACTCGAAAACAACACACAAGGATAACAAAGATCAGAAGAACCTAGGCTCAACTCACGCATTAATGGAGATATCAGAGAATAATTGTTATTAGTTCCAAGCAAGTAAACATTCAACCAGCAAAAAAATGCCGGTATGAATGTCATGTTGACGGACAACATTCATAACGACAGCTGTTGCAAATGTTGCTGCATTAACGCTGATGAAAAGTACCAAAACAATAGCAAAAATTAACTGATACAGGCACTAAGTTAGGGTTTCTTAGAATCGTGTGTTTTAAAGTGCTAAAAAATTTTAAAGTTTTCAAAAAATTTAATATAAGTCTACATTTATCAATTTTATCATACAAAATAACTACCAACACAATGTATAAAAAAAATTATGGCAACATTTTATTTCCAAAAGTCATTTTATTTTATGATTCCAGAAAATAGTAATATACGTTCCGGGATAATAAAAACTAAAACAACTCACTTTATATTTTATGCGGATTATACCGAAAGTAACGACATCTATAAGTATCGACTGGCGAAATTACATGACGTACACACGTATTATACGCCTAAATAAAGTGTACGTAATGTTGTTAAAATTTTAGAACAAATAAAAAACCATTATATTTTGGTTTTTTGGTTTCATTATTTTCGTAACATTCCAAGGATTGTCGACTAAGATTGTACCGCCTGGACTAGTACCAGTCGCAACTTTCGCCATCGTTCCACACGGCAAAATTTCCATCCTCATCACCTGGATAGTTGGCGCTCGACTACGGTACGCTCCTCGAGACACTTTTTGCCTTGCACAACCAATCTGTGTAACGGGTTACCGTCTGCGATATTTCCGGACCGATACGACCTTTAAACCTTCAAGAAAAGACAAATTTTTTTTTGAAATATCATTAATAAAATATGTTATTCAATTAGTAGTTCCGCCTTTTCCATTGGTAACCAATGTTTTCATATTTCCTATCGTCGGTCGAAGAATAGAGCAGGTATTAAGGAATCTGTGTCTTTGCGACATTCAAGCGATTACTTATTATTGCTTACTTTCTTTCTCTTATCAATTAATGACAAAGAATAAGATGATGACCTTTTAACATTTTTGAAGTAAATCGTTTAATAAGTTACGACCGTAAAAGTTAACAAACCGGTATTGTAGGTACATACACTATATTGCATATTTACAACATAAATTTGACATTTGCATGTGTCGATTTAGTCTCGAGGAAAACAGACTCAAACTCTAGGACAGGTGAAACAAAGGCAATATGGTGGTAACGATTGGGTGAACCACGGTTAATGAGTTGTAAATTACTACAGTGTATTGTAAAATATGAGGTAAGAGTCGCACCTTCTCAGTAACGAGTCACAAAGTCCAGAGAAGTTCCAGTTAAGTTAATATTATTCATATTAATGCCTAGAACCATGCTCACTTACATGCAGCTTAATATATTCGCAGACCGCTACGTAGCTGCTGTGAAGACTACTATCGAGTTAGGACGCGGTAATGAGGTCAAATAAAAGAACAAATTAACATTTAAATTTATTGATGATAGTAGGAGGCTAACACTGAGCTGTCGGAGGAGGCGCCGACGACCCTCTCGTGACGAACGCGGCCGCACGTCGACACAACTAACTCTAAAAATAAATACTCGCAAAAACTAACATCACCCGTCAACGTGCCGATAACCAATATTTACATACATTACTTACTCTATTACATGTTCATTATATATCAGCGTACTCTAACCGACTAGTACTATAGGTATATCCGACTAATAGCTACAACACAAGAAGGCGGCGACGGGACCGCCGAGCGCCTACGCCCAGATCTGGAACAGAAACACGCGATATAGTCTCGGCGGCTCGCTGCTAGCTCGCGGCGCTAGTGCAGTGCGCGGAGGCAGTACAGACCCGGAGGGTGCAGTCCCAGGAGGCGGTGCTGAGCGCGGTGCCGTCGGGCGCGAGCTGCACGCGCGTGACGCGGTGCTCGTGGCCGCACAGCACGCACACGCGCGCCCCGCGCAGCGCGTCCCACGCGCACGCCGTGTAGTCGCTGTAGCCCGCGAAGATCAGCCGCCCCGACACCGACCACTCCACGGAGTTCACGCCGAATATGATGCTCTCTTTGGTGTAGCGGGCCACCTGCGGACAGCGTCGGCACACGTCAGTAGGCGCACACGGGCCGCGCCGGGCCGGGGGGTGGTGTGGGGGGGAGGGAGGTCGCTCACCTCGCGATCGGCGCGCAGGTCGAAGAGGCGACAGCACGAGTCGTCGGAACCGGACGCGATCGAGTCGCCGGAAGGGTGGTACTTGACGCTGTTGACGTCGGAGTCGTGGGTGTCGAAGGCCTGCACGGCCTGCCCCGTGCGCATGTCCCACACCAGCACGGCGCGGTCGCAGCCGCCCGACACGAACGTGTCGCCCGTGTCCGACGGCGCCAAGTCCAGCGCCATCACGTCCGCACCGTGCGCCTGTTACACACACCCATCAATAAAGCACCATCGTTTGTTCCAAAAGTTCATTCCGTTCGATTTCGACTTGCGGCAGAACACCTGCGATACACTCTTTATTTATAACTTTATAAAATAAAACAATTAAAAAAAAAAACCAGATAAGATGTCACACTTGGGGAGTGGGAGGGGCACAAATGTGACTCGCTGTGACAAGGACGGGGGTGGGGGTAAAAAAACCATGAACGTCCTGTGACATAATTTATAGATGGCCCTAACCATTTTTTTTTACTGTACCTTTGTTTTACTCCATCTGCATCTTTAAAGCAACTTCTGGAAAGACCTTTTTTAAAATGTTCATAGTCGTGATCTTACGAGTGAAAAATTAATTAAAGTCGATAAATGCATAAGTTTTGTATTAGAACTGCATCACGTAAAATACACAAGATCACCTCCTAAGTCTGGCCCTGTTCAGCTGGTGTAGGGGGTAAACCTAATGGTAAGCGACTACCGCCGCCCATTGAGAGCTGCAACTCAAGAGTCACTTCCTTTCTGTCCACCTCCCCCCCCCCCCCAGTATCAGGGGGTGGGTTGGTAACCTCAGTCACTCGGTGGAATGTAAGAACTTCTTTACGACGGTTTTCTGCGAGGAAGTGGTATCACTGCTGGCCCATGTACAGGGTTACTGGTTAGGTATCTTGGATACTTTAGAGAGTTGTAGTTGCCAATATTACTAATACATTTCACTTTGCAATACCATATCCCAAACCCAAATCAAACCATTTTAAATATATTGGACTTTTCTTTTAAAATTTTTTTGTTAGCTTAACAAACTGGTAGATGTTTGACATTAGCACAAAAAAAACAAATTTGTATCTTTGGATATTAAAAAAAAACTATGACAGTTATGTTGCAGATATCTTAAAAACATGTTCGTATTATCAGCTATCTAACAAGGTATAATAGTCTGGAATAGCATTAGAATTCATAGAAAAACAAACTGATGATGACCGGTAGTAATAAGATTAGCGCCGTACCCAAATTACGAGTTCAACCCACGTACCCAAATTACGAGTTCAACCCACGTACCCAAGTTACCAGTCCAACCCACGTACCCAAGTTACCAGTCCAACCCACGTACCCAAGTTACCAGTCCAACCCACGTACCCAAGTTACCAGTCCAACCCACGTACCCAAGTTACCAGTCCCACCCACGTACCCAAGTTACCAGTCCAACCCACGTACTCAAGTTACCAGTCCAACCCACGTACCCAAGTTACCAGTCCAACCCACGTACCCAAGTTACCAGTCCAACCCACGTACCCAAGTTACCAGTCCAACCCACGTACCCAAGTTACCAGTCCAACCCACGTACCCAAGTTACCAGTCCAACCCACGTACCCAAGTTACCAGTCAAAGAATATGCTTGTATTTTTGGACTGTTTCTATTGCTAACTGGACATTGATTTGTGCTTCTGATACTGTTAAAAATGGCGACCTATACGAACGAGGAATAAGCTGGTATTCTGATCCTATATCCTAATCAAGGACACAAAAACCGTAAAAAAAGAAAAATTAGTGGATATTAGTTATAAAAAAATGTATTAGGAAAATTTTTGGCAGATAATAATGTACATAAGTACAAGATGGTTATTTCATGCATCAGACACAATAAACGTGACATAAAAATCGGTTGTCTGTAAGTCGGTTTACTGACGATAGTTGAACGTGACAACGTCATAACAAAATACTGATGGAATCAAGATGGAAAGGTTTATACTTGACGAAAACATGTAAATGTATTATTGTATAGCAGCTGTCCACGCGGAGGCATCGCTCACTCAAGTAGGAGAGAGATAGATGTCGAATGCTGCCGAACGCGGAGGCCGATTGTGCCTCTTTGTCGCACTTCAAGCCTTAAATGGAACGCCTCAGAGCGAGGTAACGCCGCATGAGTCATGTTTTTTAGTGCGTGCAGCCGGCTCCATCGAATTATAAGACGTCACCTCAAAATGTAAACGACAAAAGTTCTACAGCTAGTGGACCAAGTATAATAATAATAATAATATAATAATATATTCTAATAATAATTAATTATATATAATAATTCTTTATTCCTTTTTATTTTATATAAATCGTACACATACAGTTATAATTATCAAATAATTATGTAAAACAATACAAAAACCAATTTGGAAGGAAACATTTTGCAGCTATGTTTTAAAGACTCTTATCTGTAGACTCATTTATTTAAAAAAATGTAGTGCGTAACTAAAAAACTTAAATGCTAATATCTTTTTTCCTAGCCTTTCCCAAACAACAATTGTTTTACACATAGATTCTATAAAAAGCGGATTTTTTTTTTTCACTACAAGACGATGCAAATTCATTCCAAATATTTTTTGTATGGAGTATCGTCATTGTTCTTTTAGGTCTTGAGCACAAGGAAACAAGTTCCACACAAACTAGCGAGGGCTTTACGACCCTATTTCTGTCTCTGTTACAAAATCTGTTTTTATAACCCCCTACCAAATTTAATCTTCACAGGCAAAGTAGCTCTCATTTCGTCATCAGTTAATAGATGAGCATCCTTTCCTTCTTTATATATGTATATAGGTAGATGGATAAGTGGCCTGTTTCTTCGAATAGTGCTTCTTCTTGCCTGCTACTTAAAGCTTATAATTCCGATCCGGCAACATTGAGAAAGATACAAATGTATTTTGCCTGATTCTTGAGGGGATTATACCTAGATGGTAACAATTATGGAACCTGTCGGGCGCATCACTGTTTGTTTGGCTGAGAGGAAGATAACACAAATACTCGGTTTGTAATGAATATGGTACGATACAATTATGGTAACTCTGTATTTCATGTATTATTATAATTATTTCATCCTTCTGAATATTTGTTTTAATGTGATTATAATAATTATATAATAATCATCAACAGCCTATACTAGTCCACTGCTGGACATAGGCCTCTCCTTAGAAAGGAGGTTTATATAATAATATCTTCTAAATATTCTTTAAAGCTGTAAAAAACAATGTAATTAAAAAGAACTTCAATTAAAAGTTATCTTAAGCAAATGTGTATTTTTAAAGTTATTTATACTGTAGTAGCTTTTACTTAGTAGAGTTTAGAGTAGTTTTAATTTTTTGTGAAAATAATATTTTTATATATATATTTATCTTCTTGCTTTATGTTTGGTGTAATGTCCATAGAAATGTCGCCTAGTCGCGAGGTAAACTTTAGTTGTATGTTCAGGGTAATCTCAGGCACTACAGGTTTCAACTGAAAAATTATTTTAGTGTTGGATAGCCCTTTTATCGAGCAGCCCTTATATCCATACTAATAATATTATAAATGCAAAAGTGTGTCTGGCTGTCAGTCTTTATGTCTGTGTGTTAACTCTTCAAGCTTAAACCACTACCGATTTAAATGAAATGTGGTATAGAGATCGTTCAAGTCCCAGGAACGGACATGGGGTAGTTTTTATCCCAGAAATCATCCTCTAAGGGGATGAAAGTTTATGTGGGGAATCAATAACCGCTGAACTGGTTTAGATTAAATTTGGTATGGAGATACTTAGATCCTTGAGGAAAGACATAGGCTAGGGACCCGGACAGAGCCGCGAGCAAAAGCTAGTAGGCTATATAACATCATGCTAAGATAAACAGGAGCCGAATATGAATGAAAAATGTTGCAATAACAGGTGAAATTTAATCCTTTTGGGAGAAACAGACGATGTTTCAGGGGTCAGCTAGTGTGGTTTTAATATTCTATTTGTACCAGTTGTTCCCTATCCTTCACATATGATGTGAACCGTTGCAGGCATTTACTGCGGATTACTATTATTACTATTTGTGTAATATTATGTCAATTTTAATAATTATTTTATATTTAATATGAACAAAAGGGTCTCTCAAAAAAAAATGGTTTAACATTGAGACGTAGAAGCACTTGGAAAAACTGCCTTGTGTAATAATAATCATTGATGAAAATAGCCATTAACATTATGTTTAGAGTGTAAAGTAAATTAGTGCAAGTAATGTAGAATGGTATAGTACCTGGAAGCTCTGCAGCAGCTGGCCCGACTCAACGTCCCACAGCGCGCACGTGCCGTCGCCGGATCCAGTGAGGATCTGGCGGTCGGTGTTGGGGAACAGGCAGCACGACATGTAGGACGTGTGCGTCGCGAACGTGCGCTTGCGCGCCGCCGGCTCCTCCTCGCCCGCGCCCCCCGACCCGCCCAGCGGAAACACCGTCACCTTGTTGTCCAGCCCCCTACGATCACACAGCCGCTTTATTAGACATGACTGCCTACACCTAAGCGTTTAATGAACGTTTTATTTCTATCTAACTAAAAAGGAATTTAATTCAGCTTGTCAACATTTAAGAATTCGTAGAAATGTTTGGAGTTGGCCAAGTCCTTTGGGTCGATTGACCAGCGAGTAGAGGCACCTGGCATAACGCCCCTTTGCTTCGCTTTCTAAAATTTTCGTGAGTTATTTTAAAAACTATTTAGCAAAGCATGTTATCAATTACCTACTTACTAATTCATTTGTGTGGTAATTCGATTTATAGTTAACGGGTAGGTACGCTCGTTTATTCTTGTTTAACGATTCCTTTATGGCACTGACTTATTGGATTGATTGTAACCTAGGACGCGTGTGAACAAGTAATGATGACAGGTGATCGTCCTATCTAAAGCTTCAAGACTTCCATATTTAAATGAAGCTGTTCACGTGGATACATAGACACAATTATCTGCAAACGTTAAAATACAGGGAACATATCAACGACAGTGTCCCACGATAAAAAACGTCTCGATGGCTAGTCGTATCCGTAGTTGGACCGATATAAATGTCGTATCGTTCGTCAACGTTTACACGAAAGGGCGACAATTATGAAACAATAAATTCGTCACGATGCAGTGTCAAATTAAATATTAGTTTTAATTATTATTTAATGCTAAACAAGGGTGAAAAATTATTAGACTAGGGATATATTTTTGCGGTATCGCAGGTGCACGAGCCGCACCAAAACAGTGCAGGACTTTATCCCTATTATGTAATCATAAAAAACTTACTATGAGCGTTAATAAAATACAGACATTACAATAGATACATTAATATAGATTCCCTATTAATATACAACACGCGCCTAAGTAAATATGATGTCTCGTGAGCTTTCTGAATAAGAAAATACGTTTGTTTTTATGCCGAATGTTACGTAACATTGAACTTGCTGCATTGAATTGGCTCGATGTTGAAATGGAATGTGGTTGCGCCCGAAAGGGGCTCGTGGGGGTACTCACCCAGCGGCAACCATATTGCCGGACGGCGCGTAGGCACAAGCCATCACCCAGGTACTCGGCATGGGGATCGTCAGCTCCTTTGTCCCCGTGAAGGCGTCCCACACTATCACCTTCCCATCCTACGATAGGGCAGACATTGTCAGTCACTTGCACTATGTTGCTAACATGCCTACATACTATCGATCGCCTAGGTACGAGTATTACAAACACACATCAACATATATTGCATCAACTGATCGTAATTTTAACTATTGCTGCAAAATTCCAATTTCCAACTTTTTCAGAAAACTGTGTGGTTTGTGAAAGTAGATTTTGTTAAGAAATGTATACAGGTTATCAAATAAAGAACATGCAGTACCTGCGACGAGGAGACGATGTGCCGCTTGTCCGGCGACCAGTCTGAGCAGAGCACCTTGGACTGGTGGCCCTTCATCACACGTCGCAGCTTTAGATTAGGAAACGTGATTTGCTCCAGGCGCTCCGCCACACATGACACTGATGACCATCAACATTTATGTTTTTAAATGTACATTATCATGGGAGCAGGTTAAGGAATTTCTATAATAATGACAACAAATTCAAAACACACACACCCATCCCAAATAAGCAAAACCAGCACATGGCAACCAGACTGCTGAAGGTGTAGATTTCTAAATACATACATACTGTGGCGACTTCCACATACAGTGAAACAAAACATACTATAGTGCAATCTAAGGAAGACACACAGAACTGTGGAGCCACTGTTAATTCTGTATCGCAATATAAAAAAAACTCACGTTGATTAGCATATATACAACTTCCAAGCAGACTCAAAAATGTTCCTTAATGGGTTGAGGTAAGAAGAGCCAACCCAGTTTCTAAAAAGAGCTGGGTTCATTGTCACACTCAATGTTAATGCACAACTTTTGTAACTAGACAAGGAAGTAGTAACACAACATTTTTCAGTGTTACTAATTTTTACCGCACCAAAGAATTTAAGGTCTACTAAAATCATAATAAATATGCTTTAATGTTAAGGCATTCTTTTACATTGTCTTTGTTTCAAGTGATATGTTCGAAGTTAAACAGAAGGAACAGAACTCAGACTGTGCTAGGTGTCCTTACCAAAACCAAACAAGTGAATGTTAAACAATTGATCATCACTTTCTAATCTATTGGTGTGGTTTGATAAGTTGTCCCCTAGTTTCTTTTGTAGCTGGAAGCTGCCTCAAGGAACACTCCTTAGGAATGTAACACTTTTAAATTGGGCTAAACAAGAAGGTGAATTGGGCTAAGGAAAACAGTTAGGAATAGAGATCTAGGGAAAGGGAACCAGTGGAGGCCATCAGACTGTGGAGCCACCACTACATCAGAGATACCAACGAGCCATGATGAACATTATAGTAGGTATTATTGTATAATTTAAACATCAGATTTCAAAAACACAAATTTTATCCAGTATTAAAAGACAAAATACAATTGTAACATACAAACCTTATAAATTTCTTATTGACTAAAGATAAATTAAAGGCTTGCTGCAAAGACTTTTATGTAAAGCTTACTTCTCTCTTTGAAACTCAAACTCAAAATATCTGTATTTCATTTAAAAATAAAGTTGTTTGATATTGTCTTTTATGCAGAGTCTAAAGTCATAGATCAACACACACAATAGCAACAATCTGTTTTGTCAAATATTTAGCAAAAAAAATATAATAAAATTCTTCATCATTCATTAATCTCACTCTGTTACACAATAAAATATTGTGTAAATGAAACACACTTGTTATACAAGAGCTCTCATAACTGGATTGTCCAGTGCTTATGTATACAGTGGTGCATTCACCACCCGCTAATACTCTAGGAACAAGAATTGGAGGCACCACTCACACGACACATCGTTAAGTTTTTGCCTCTCTTCTTCGAGTTTCTGCTTGAGCGCTTCGGCCTCGCGCAAAAGCGACTCCAGCGTCTCCTCGGGGCTGGCCGCTACGGCGGTGTCCGCCGCCATCGCGCCGCACCCGATGTTCTGTCCTAAGTTTCGTACCCCTAGCACCACATCCTGATGTAAGGCCCCTCACGCCCTTCGGCTGCGACAGCACCGCGTTACACTGCACCCACAGCCACCACTAACTTTTATAAGATTAACAATCTGTGACCATATGATCCTAATAATACGTTAGTCGTTCTATGACTGTAGAAAGAAACATTAAATTCATTTCCAGTACATTCATTACCGTACACAGAATCGATACCAAACTTCGTCCATCAAACAATTGTCAATGTCATTTCTTGGGACTAAGACCACAGAACTAAGACCCAATCCGAAATAGAGTTGCCGACTCAGAGGATTTAAAATTAATGTTGACGAATGTCTGGATCAAAATTATCTGTAAAATTCGTTTTTTTATTCTATAAACTTAATTAATTTTGAATATTTATAAAAAAAAAATTTTTGCTATATAGTGGTAACGTGTTTAAAATGAGACGAATTGATTTATGACTTCACAACATAATACAATAAAACAATTACAATATTTCACTAAATAAAACAAAATATAAGCTCTCTTTAACTATAGTAGAACAAAAATATATATATTTAGCATACAAAAGAACACTAGCACCATTTATTTCCCTCCCACAAAGCTGGCGTGCAGAGCGATACTGTCGAGTGCCGAGACAGAGTTGTTAAAGCGGCGGTCGACAAGAACATTAGTTGTAGAAACTATTTGTAAATTCTTGATAATTAAAATTAAACAAAATGGGTTTTCTAATAATAAAAATAGTAATCACATAATTCTTTCATCATAAAATTGGTTAATAAGCTCAAATTTGACAAAATTGTACGATTACTTACGACACATTTGCTTTTATCCTGCGTAGTTTGCTCCCTTAGTCGGCTCTTACGACATCCACGGGATGGACAGAGGTGGTAACACTCCATATTTTTAATCCATCACCACACATACAACATATATGATGATGACTACGTGACGACGCTGATGAATTAGGAGCCAATATATGTCATGAATGTCCTAATAGCAAACATCACCACAATCAATAATGAGTATAATTTAAGGTATGTAGTTCTATCCGGCAAAGCGTTTGTGACTCCTGAGTTGCAGACGTCCATGGGCGGCGAAGGTCACTTTCCATCAGGTGACCCGTCTGCTCATCTGCCCCCTCTAACATAAAAGAAAAAGAAAAAACCATCGCTTTTTACTTTGTATTAGTCCTTGGTATCGAAACATTCCAACCCAACAAACAACCCCAATTAAAACATTTTGATCAGTGCTGCCAACCAAGTGGATTTTCCACTAAATCTAGTTTCGATTTTAATGTCGATGTAGAGTTGAGAGACTATAGGTATAAACAGAGGTATAATAATAACAACTAGCAAAACTTATATGCAGCAGTCGGAATTTCTATTTTCCGTAAACCTCTAAATTTACAGCAAAACTAAATTTCTTAAACAGAATTCAAAACCAAAAATGCATTTTTTCAATAATTTTTTTATATAAAAAATATATGTAAGACATGACATTTAATGTCATGTCAAAAACAGCAAGATAATTTGATTAAAAAATTATACTGTTGATGATCACAAGACCTAGAGCCAGCAGAGCACTTTTACCACCTCTAGACTCGTCGCTTCACTCCGTCTTGCAGTCCCCGAAAACCACAACACAAGTCCTGGTGATTACAGAAGCATCGAGCTCGACTTCAAGTAAGTTTTTATCTCCGCCGACGTCGCCAACACCTGTACGGCGAGAGGCCAGCCACCGACTTGCTTGGGATCCCGAGGACCACTGACCTCGAACAGGGGTCCCCGCTACCGGTGGTAATGTGCGCCGCATGAAGTGGACAAATTCTATCAATGAGAATGTAATGCGGGCATATTATCGGGCCACAGAGCTGAGAACGAACCTTACTGTATACCGTGCTCGACTAGTCTCTTTGTTTCAGGAGGTTTCTATTCTACAATGAGCGGCTATTTCAGTTTGTCGAGTAGCGACCCGATGAAAATGTCACAAATATATTTTGACGTAACATCTGGTCGGTGCCTGTCACTCATATAGAAGGTGATTAGTTGCGAGATGTCAGACGCTCATGTGAGTATATAACACCTATGGAACCTGTTAGTATTGATAAAGATGATGTAAGCTGTGCAGTCCGTTCATTACCGAATTGGAAATCACCTGATCGGGGTGAATTGCACAACTTTTGGCTTAAGTGGTTTCGAAGCTTATATGCGTATTTGGCATTTCAATTCCAGGCAGCATTAACTTCGGGTTCATTCCCCAATTTTAAACCACTGGCATAACCCACTTACTCTAAAAGTCTGGTAGAGTCATGGATCCCAAAAATTTTAATCTTTGAAATGTTTACCAACCATGTATAAATTTGTAACATATATTCTAGGACTCAAAATTACTTTACCTATTAATAATAATTCGATTTTGTCAGTTTCTCAGAATGGATGTAGAAGAAGTCCCGTGGCACTAAAGAGCTTATCATAGACATGACTAGGGATGGATAAAATCACAATAACATTGGATAAATCAAATCGTCACATGTGACTGATTTACAAAACAACTGCTACTTAACTATTATTATTACGCTAGTGCAAGACTTGCGATGGGCCTAAATCTAAAAAAATGGTCGTAATCTTTCATAAAAAGAATTTTGATTTATTTTAATGCCATTTATCTTTGTCTATGACGAAATTACAATCACATGTGAAATCGCGGTGACTAAAACCAATAGTGAATAATATTTTAAGGAGCAATAATTCCCATGTCTAGACATGACCACTGGCTAAGGTACGTCGTAATTGTAAGAGTTTGGCGACATATTGGATAGATTACGAGTATAAGAAGGCTTATGACTCGGTTCCACATACATGGCTTTTGAAGGTGCTGTAGTTGTATAAAATTGATGCAACACTGTGCACTTTCTTGGAGTCATGTATGGAGCAATGGAGAACAGCATTTCGCTATCCAGGTTGTCACCAGACTGCGGTTTAGATGTACTAATAGAGATCAAGCGGGGTATATTTCAAGGCGATAGTTTGAGTCCCTTGTGGTTTTGTCTGGCTTTAAACCCTCTTATAGTACGGCCGCTGAGTCACGGTACAATTATAATACAGTACTCCAACTTCATACAAACGGACGAAACACGAGCTATACCTACGCGCCTCGATCTCGGGGTGCGCTCGGGGCGCAGACAGTCACGGCTGTACCACAGTGTCGAGCGTACGGTGTGCTGTTTTTTTTAACAATAACCGCGCGATTTTTTCTCTAAAAATCAGTTAATATGACGAGTAGGAAATATTGTGCTGTTTTTGGTTGTATGAATTCGTCAATAACGCATCCAGACATAAGTTTTTTTTAATTACCTGGAAACTCTGAAAGGTAAGACTATAAAATAATTTTACTTACTAGTAGGTAGGTACATAATGTGTGACTTTTTAATGGATAAGTATTTCCTTTTATCTTACGAAAATAAAGGTGTTTGGATTAATAAATAAAGCGAATAGAGTAACGGAAAGTTATTGAGACGAGTGAAATGGGTAGTTATATGCGGTTCTGAATGAATCATGATACGGTAGGTACCTACCTACTTACGCTTGTGTTAAAACTTCGGTGCATGTGTGTTTTGTTACTTTGCATAATTCAAAGTAAAGACGTGGTATTTTATTTTTAATAATATTTGTTTATTATCTGTGTGTATGAATAATACTAGAAAATTTTTTTTACCGTCTGTGTGTCATTAGATAGTTTTCGAAATTTTCACAAAGTGTTTCTGCTGCTACTATAACAATATATACCACTAAAAACTGGTTTCATTTTCTCGGTATTAACAACAACAGCTAGACTCATATATAATATTTAGATGTTTGAGGGTTGTGATTTTAAAACATTCTTAGTCAGCTGTTCAGCTTTTTAATAATTAATTAATGGGTGACCAAAGAATTTTTGTTTTGAGTTATAGGTAGGTACCTAATTTATAGAGACGTTAATAAGCTGAGATAAAAAGTTACTTACTCGTCAGCTGTTTCTTGCATTCTAGTTGAGTAGGTAGGTGTTGGAGTTTCTAAGGATTGGCGTTTTGTAAAGCGTAAGGAGAAAGTTCATTTTTTTTATTCTATAGAAGGATTTTTAAGCTATTGCATAGCTTTTATCGCGGGCTCTGAGCGCGGCGCTGCGCGGTGACCGAATCAAAATATTCTCAAAACCTAACGAAAAATACCTGACACCACGCAGATTTTTTTCTTTAAAAAAAAATGTTATGCAATAGCTTTACCGCGGCAGTCTCCGAGAGTGTCACATGTATTTTTTTTTTCAGACGTCTTCAATGGTTGCAACTGATCCGGCGAGATGATTTGGAAAACAAACCTAACTTTAGTTCCTACCAAGTTTGTGAAAAACATTTTAATTTGGAGGATGTATTACATTCATCAAATAGAAAACTTTTAAAAAAGAATGCCCTACCATTGTTGATGCTGTCAAGCTTAGCTAGTACTGATCCAGGAGTATCTCTAAAAGAAGATAAACAAACCCAAACTGCTCCGTTGCTAAGAAATGAAAATAGTACACAGACTGAAAAAGAAATCTTTGCTCAAACCTCAACGAGTCTCTCTAGCAACACTCCAAGAAAAAGAAAACTGAAACTTGAACTCCTCCAATGCAGAAAGAAAATAAAATAATTAAATCTACCAATCAAAAAACAACACGCATTTTTATTGAACACTTCCTATTCAATATACAAAGTATTTCATTTATTTATATAAAAAGGATATTTACAATCACAAATCTAAATAGAAACAGAAAGTAGGCAAATATAATTAAAATGCTGGAGACGGGCAGCCCTAACGCATGTTTACGTACCGCGCGGCTGTAGGCATTTATTTCTATCATGCGGCCGAGTTACAGTACTGTATTATAATAGTACCGTGGCTGAGTTATTACCGATTTGACACATGACGAATTGACAATATTATTGAAGTGACTGAACCAGTAACCCTCATATCATTTGGGAACAGTTTGTTTTTAAATATTCTAGTATAGTGTGTAATTAAATAAAATCAAAACCTAATAAAGAACCTAAGCTGTGTCTTTAAGTATTATTTACTTAAAGACACAGGTTCTTTATTAGGTGGAGTATCCTTGATGGGCGTAGATAATTGGTCGAGGACATATCAAAATAAAACAAATTTGTAAACACTGTTACACATTTTAATGAATAGAGTAGGTACAAGATGTTTTAATAAATGACTACCTATCGTTTATTAAAACAATTATTCAGACTCTGAACCAGATTCGCCAGAGCTATCATCGCTATCAGTCACTTGTATGACAATTTCATTGTCTATAATGGTGTCCACTCTTATATCGCGTTCATAATCTTCTGTTATTAGTTTTAGAGTCTTTTCGACGACCTTGACCCAATCTTCTTTCGTTATTTTGCTGCAAGCATCTTTTAATATACCCATCATTTTATTAGTACTGAATGGCGGAGTCGTATTATTACGAGCTGCGTAACCTGTAATGTAAACATTAAATAACGTTAATTTATTACATTAAATAAACGAAATGTTACACAATTACCTACATGTAAGGGACATGAGATATTTATTTCTTAGTTATGTATCTTTTTACTTATATGCTGAATATTGGATGTTATAATAGTACAAATTATTCACATTCATAACTTATGCGATAAAAAACAATACCTTTGATTTGTGCCCATATTAGCTTAATGGCATTGTACTGGCAGTGATGCCATGCCACCGTCCTGGGGAATCAATCAGGCAAATTATTTCTGGTTGTTCTCGTCTTGCTAACGGTAAATATTGGCACTGGTACAACTAATTAGCTAGGATCGTACACCGGCAGCTTGGCCTGAACTACCGACTTGTGAATCGAGAGCTGCAATACTACAGGTATGTGCCCCACCCAGGTCTCGAGAATGGTCGGGCCACGTTGTATTGGGATCGATCTATTATCACAGACAGGACTATTGTTGTCAATAAGCCTGATATTATGGTGATAGATCGATTAGAGCGCCGCACAATGATTGTTAATATCGCCGTTCCTCATGACTAGAATGTCGTGAAAGTTCAAAAAGAATACAAATAAAATATTCGGATTTATCTCACAAGATTGTCGATACATAGAATGTGGATTCGGCGATTATTGTTCCGATAGTCGTATCTGCTCACGGATTAATATCCAATAGCCTCGACCAACACCTAAAGAGGCTCACGTTAGACGGCTGGATCAAGGCTACTATTTTATTTTTAAATGTTTTGTTTTTCAAATATTTGCAGATCATACAAACATTTGGTCCGACCCGGGAATCGAACCCGAGATCTCAGCACAGCACGCATACGCTATCACTGCACCACCGAAGCAGTCAATAGAATAAAGTTAAATCTTTTATCTGATATGTTAAGTCTACGCTGTGGTTTGAAGTGGGAAGGAGAATGCTGCAACAAATATGAAATTCCAATCATCATCATTATCATCAACAGCCTTTAATAGTCCACTGCTGGACATAAGCCTCTCCTTAGAAAGGAGGTTTTGGAGGAGGCAAAATTCCAATAAACGTTGTAAAACAAAGTACTACCAAAGAATTGCATTAATCTGAAAACGACGATGATGGTGCTGACAAAAATGATTAGTATCAGTATTAAATTTTAATAAAGGAAACTGGTTGGAAAGGAAATTACCTATTTCTTAGCGTTCCATTGACTCAAGCTGGTGCCGTGTCCATCGCGTGATAGATGGTGGACCGAGAGGCGGGCGCAAAATTTCCAGGGTATCTGTTATTTTAATGAACACCATCACAAATAATGGTATTAACGTTAGTAAAGAATAAGCGCTATAATTGCCTGGATTCCGTATGACCCCAGGAGTGGGGAAGTCGTTTTTTATTGCAATATTCACATACTTGGTCCATATGTTGTAGTGATCCAACCTACATTAAATTGTAGAGTTTAGTTTTGTTCAAGAAATAAAATAATTGCCTGGGTAAAAAAGACCCAAGTTGAGGCAAACAAGAGTTTTATCTACAAATTTTAAGTAATTACAAAGAAAAAAAAGGCTTTTCAAAAATTTTACGTGGATAAAATGGTGTCTATGTAGCTAGCGTAGCCAAGTCATAGGGCGGTAATAAAACTTACACCATATTTATTTGCAAAATATTTGCATTTTTTTGCAAAAAGATTTTATTTTTTTGACATAGCCATTTCCGAAAAACAATGGTTCTCCTACCATACGCTTAATCGACATGGCAGAAAGAAATATGGCTGGTCTGGCCGCCGTGGCACAGATATCCTTGAGGTTTTCTTTCGTAATTAGAGAGCTCATTTAACTGTTGGCAACACTGATTTTGATTTATTTTCTGATTAGGTTATGTTGTTGTTGATAGTACATAAAGCATTTTCTCTTATTAATAGTTAGTACTCCGAGTTATAAGATACTGAAATATGCATTTAGTGTAAAGAAATTAATTAATTTATAAATTTAGTTTGTTATCATAAGACCTCGGTATTTGTAAAAATATGTAAGTTTGGTTTGTTGGTCAAGTTATTTGATGAAATATATTATTTGATGATCAAATGTTTTATTACAGGTCTCTCAGTCCAAGCTCAAGTATAGTAAACCGCACAATAGATCTCAAATATGCGAACAAGAAGCGGTCCAACTCGCTCAAATGGCTCGTAGTGAACGTCGTATTGTTAACGCTGTTCGTGTATGACTTGTGAGTGTTTGACTGCAATAGCTTCAGTAATCGTGTCACTCCCAGGTATAGTTGGTACACGAGCAGATGGGACTCCATTGATCCTGTAACCCAAGAGACGCAAGTGCAGGGCTGTCTCTTGAGTGCCCTCTACCAACATTTAAGGTTTAATAAGAGGGGGGGATTGTGCCTCCGGTAACCTCACTCACCTGCGTCACACACCAGCTGTCTGTTAGGCTATGGTTTCACAGGTCAAACCGGCCCATTTCATATGAAGCACAACTCTCCCTTGAACAACCTGAGTTCTACAACTATCTTAGTTCAATCATGAGCTCCTCTCATAAATCACCTGTATACATTATTGTCATTACAGATATGATATTTCAGATCTGATTGTATTTATTCATTTCTTTATTTAATTACTTTTGGAGAAGGCTTATAGACTAATACATTTATAGTTATTACACATGAGTGTTGATGTTGCTAGCAACAAGCCTCTATAGTTAAGAATAAATAATTGTATTTGATCTACATACATTTTTATATATTTATTTATCACAAACACATCCCAAATAATCCTCACAGGCAATCCAACGTGATTGTGGGGCTACAATTAATATAAAACAAATTTAACACATAATTATATAAATTTTGAAATAACAGAAATAGAACTTAAAATGAATGAATAGTAATATTACATTAATTTTGGATATGAAATTTTGAATAACCAGATTATGTTATTTATGAAGCAATAGGAGAAATGTGACAATGACTTGCTTTATAGTGACCCGCCCCATTTTATTTCCATTAAACCGATCCCCACATGGAACAACAGCGTGAACAACAAATTGTTGTTCTGAGTCTGTGTGTTCTTTATGTCCTGTATGTTGTGTGGATGTATGTTTGTAAAGTCCCAGGGACACAGGATATATTCCTAATGCGGGAGTTGTCTTTAAAAAAAAGCACAGTTTTGAGTTACGATAATAATGTAAGGTGACATGTATATGTTCTGAATCCATAAGTACCTACTATAGGTGTTAACAAAACATTTCCATGTTGCTCGATAGAAGAGGAAATATTATATTATCTTGGCAATTTGTGACAGTTCATACCGACTATGTGATGAGGAGTATTATGATGTCTTCACAATTCATGATGTCCTTTAGGTACCTGTAAATCGAACTGTGCGAAATTAATATTATACAACAATTTTAGTCAGATACGATTAATTAAAATATGCCACAAAGTAAGACGCCACCCTCGTCTGTAGTGATTTGTATCTTCGGTTACAGTCTTACGTTATGGCCATTACGATTCAAGTGAGCAGTTCTGCTCAAACAAATCTTTAAAATGTACACCTGCTTCGTATGAGACCATCTACTTTGAACACGTAAGAGAAGACGCGTTTTACGCCTTAGGTCGCACATGTGCGCGGGATACACTACGGCGCTGCACTGGGTGGAGCTGTGCTGCGCCGCCGTGCTCGGCGCGAACGTGCTGCAGCACGCGGTGCGCGTGGTGCGCTGCCGGCGCGCGCCGCTCGCGCTGTCGCCGCGCCAGCAGCGCCTGCTGGGCGTGAGCGGCGCGCCCGCCCGGCCCCTCGCGCCGGCGCGCGCGTGCTCCACGCCCGCCGCGCCCGCGCCGCTGTCGCCGGCGCGCACGTGGCGCGTGGCGGACTCGTCGCCGCCGCCGTCTCCTCCGTCACCCGCGTCGCCCTCGTCGCGGCGCGAGGAGCGACCGGCCGCCGCCGACGAGTTCATAGCCGACAGTCGTTCGCTGGCCAACTACCTGAGGTATTCGTCTCGAGTTTAAGAACCTACAAAATATTTAACTTTAAAAACCTCGTTTCGCGTTCGCGCCACCGCCGCGCCCGAGCGAGATCCGTATGTGAAAGATCGTATGTTCACATCCGATGGTACGTCTAGTATTATCGATGAGAGTTTTTAACTGAATCGTTTTCGGAGCTCACGTACGATATGTTTTTCAGGTGCGATTTAATAGTCCACAGCTGGACATAGGCCTCTCCTCGGAAAGGAGTTTCGGCCTACTAGTACAACCCGTCCTTGTGCGATGTATGGTTGCAGGCAGTACGGGGAGCGCGCGCGCGTGGAGGGCTCGGGCGGCGGCGCGGAGCTGTGGTCGCCGCTGATGCCGGCCGCGCCGCAGCCGCACCACTACCAGCTCGCCTCGCTCGACTCCGGTGAGAACGCTGACCGCACTCACGTTCGGTGTATACCGACCTGGGGCCCTTCATTTTGATTCCGACCGATTGACTTTGGAATTATGACATTTCGTACTCTCAAATTGGACGCTAGCGATGTTTGCTTTTAAATTACGTGACGTTTTGGGATACCTATACAAATCGGAACGATCGCGACGTGCATTCAGTACTCTTGTTGAATCGTCTGCCAGCTGTGGGATGCTACATCTCAATTGTTGTAATACTATTTTTTTGACAGATATTGGTAAAAGTAAAATTTTTATATATTAGTTGTTTAAACTATAATTTATTTTTGCCTTATTAATCCTGAAGATCCTGTTTAGGATGATCGACCAAATTTATCAAATTATTGCATTGTCGTCGGTCCTTGATAAATGTGCGAAGTTTTAATTTAACTCGACCTTTTGAAGTGAGTCAAAATCACGTTCGATGATTCCGTTACGTACTCATACATACATACCAAGCTAATAAAAGCGTGTTAAAGACATGTTATTAGTGTTTCAACCAGTTGTCTACGAGGATTTTTTTGTCTTTCATGGCAACCAGTTGTTATAGAAGTACATTAATTTTTTCTAGGTACACAACTAGTTCTCAACAAAGAATCTCTCAAAAAGCCTAGTTGCTAGTGAAGAGTTTATTTTCTTCGTTTACAACCGATATAGTGGGGTAACATGAATATACACTAGAATAATGATAAAATACCAATATCAAGAATTATAAAGGATATTGCCATTATAACATGACAGATACTAGTATACTAGTAAAAACTTTGTAGAGGTTTTAAATATTAATGTAAAATAATAATGTGTCGAGATTATAACCAATAAATGAAATGTTGCGTAGAAGCATCTTCAAGGAGAAGTTCTATCATAACTGGTTGCCATGGAAGAATAAAAAATCTTTGTAAACAACTGGTTGCAAAACATAGTTGCGATGACGGCGATTTTTTTCTTTATTGGTTAGTTACAACTAGTTGTGTACCGAGAATAAATGTACTTCTATCACAACTGGTTGCAACGGCGGCCGAAAGGAATGTAGCACAGTATGTATGACAATGCATATAAAGTCAGTCGTTTCACGCGCAGAGATCTCCGCTCTGGAGGAGGGTGCGGGCGCGGGGGCGGGGGCGGGGGCGCCGGCCGCCTGGCGCCGCCTGCTGCTGGAGCCGACGCGCGTCACCGAGTGGAACCAGAACCTGCGTCTGTGGCTGCACTGCACCATCCTGCAGCGCCTGGTGCGGGAGATGGCGCGCGTGGACGAGGCGCTGAGCGCGCTGGGGCTGGGCGAGGCGCGCCTGGGCCACGTGGGCGTGGAGCGCCTCCAGAAGCTACCGGCGGCGGCCGCGCTGCCCTCGCTGGGCGCCCTGCTGCCGTACCTGGAGCCTTTCGCCGACCAGCGCTACGCCGTGCAGCGCATCCGCGAGCTCGCGCACGGCGGCTGCCTCAGCGGCTATCGCTGGAGCGGCGGCGGCTCCGACTGGGACGAGAGCAAGCCCGCGGACGCCGAGCTGCTGCTGCGGCTGCTGGCCGCCTACCTGGACGGGCAGCTGCCGCCGGCGCCGGCCGCGCGGCCCTTCAGCTCGGTGCACCTGTCCGAGGCGCCGGGCGCACCTCCGCGCGGGCCGCACGCGCTCGCCATCCACCGCGCCGCTGCGCGTCCGCCGCACTACGTGCTGGCGCTCGGCGACGAGACCGTGGAGGTAAACCCGCCACCACCCGCCCTTCCCGCACCCTCTCGCCCGCGGTCCGTCCCAGTAACGCTCGCTGTGACTGCAGGTGGCGCGCGGCCGCAACAACCTGCTGCACACGATCCTGCTGTTCATCGCGGCGGCGGCGCGCAGCGAGCCCCCCACGCTGCAGCGCCTGCACCTCGGCCCCGCCGGCCTCAACATGCTCTGGATCATCGGCCGGTGATACCGTCGCCCGCCCACCTTCTCGCTATACGTACCTTCTCGAGCGTATTCAAAATCAATAAACTATATTTTAAATGTAATCTTTTCAATGTATTTACACGTAGACTCGGTTGCTACGTGGCGTACTACACGGAACGGGGCCCTATGTCGTAAACTTATAACTATATAAACGTGACGATTGAGACATGATGATTATATAAACGTGACGAACTGAGCATTACTCTATTGTAATTCAAGGATTGACCGTAACTAGTTTCTTTTAGTTTAACTGTTTTCTATACTTAACCAATAATAAAATAATTATGAAGCCATGGTCAATCATGGAAGTGAGGACTAGTTTTGAGTAGAATATCTACCGAAATGTGTTGGCCTGCTAGTTACATAAAATATCACATCTATTATGATGCTTTTCTCATAATCGATAAAAACATCACAATAGGTGTTGACATTTTCAAAACATTGAATACCTAAATAAAAGACTACAGAAAACCTGTTTATATTTTTTCTTTGCTTTCTCAGTATAAACAATTAACTTATGATAACACGTTTTTTCTTTTCTTGTATTGATCCAGCACATAGTCTCAGTGCCAAATATAAAATCTGTTTAAGTAAAAGTGAGTTAGGGACAAAACTTTGACATTCACTTTCAAATTTTAAACTGAAAGAAATTGAAAATTATAATTGAAGTGAAAATTCAAATGGAATACAATGTGATTTAAGTCCTTTATAATCAGGCATACCGATTCACGTCACGGCTAGAATGACCCCATTCTAGCAGTGAATTTTTTCTACACAAAAAAAAAAGAAAATTGAGGCTTCTAGCTCTATTAACAACAAAGTTACAGATTTTTGCCACTTTGGTCAATGTTAGATTTTTGCCAATGAATGGAGACAAAACACTAGAGATCTACCATAGGAGACAAAATGAATACCACTTATATTTAACTATTTGGAATCTTAAGTATTTATTATTTTTTACATGTTAAATTGTATGAACCTAGGGAAAGCAATCTTCATAATATTAGAAAATAGTCTCTGCCACATGTTGACCACTTTCCAAACAAGGTAAATTAATTTGAAACAGGGCAAGAGTCATCTTCTAACTCAGCCGCATCTGCCAGATATTGATGTAGAGCAGCACGTAATGCCATCACAAAGTGAAGCAGGTCGGGGGCGCCCGGCTGGCGCGCGTGCAATGCACGCGCCAAGAACGGCAGGCGTCGCAGCGCTCGGCCCGACATGAGCGCTGCCGCAGCCTCTAGCGCCACCTCCCATAGGCGCAGGCTTGGGCGTGACGACTCGCTCTCTGCGAAACGCGAATCCTCTAAGAGACGCAGCTCGAACACAGGCTCCCGCGGGGCCACAACGCCGCGCGTCATCAGCTCGCTACAGCAACCGCGTAAAATTTCATACGTAGCACGCGCCGAAGGTGGGCCCACACGACGCTTGATATCTGCGCGGTCCACGAACGCTACGTCGATGGCGCCAGTCACATTGGAGGTGGTGAGCACGAGAGCGTTTGGTCGCCGCCGAAGTCGGTCTAGCTGCGTAAGTAGGGCATTCACGGCGCGGATGGAGTCCGATGGCTCCAAGCCGGACAGAGCCGCTCGACGGGCGTGTGCTAGTGATTCCACCTCATCCACGAGTACGCAGGCCAGCAGACGCTTGTCTGCTACGATTTCTTCTAGGCGCTCGAACAGGCGTGCCACGAGCTTCCCGCTTTCGGCGAACCATTTAGAGAAGAGTCCGTGAGCATTTATTTCGACGAGCCTAGCTCGCGGAAAACGATCGCTAAGGCGTACAGATAGTTTTTGTGCAAGGGCGCGACATAGGCTGGTCTTGCCGGTTCCGGGCGGCCCGTGTAGAAGCACTACTCGATTCCACCCGACCACGTTAGGATCGACGCCCTTATCGGCGAAGTCGAATGCGGTTTCGACAAATCGCACAGTATCCTCTTTTAGTTTAGTGTCATAAATCAAAGTCTCCCACAGACCGTGGAATTCCTGGCTAGGCAGGGCCCACATATCCGCTGCTGCAAATTCTTCACCAGTGCTTGAGTCTGTCATTGTATCCGTTTCTGCACCGAAAGAGTCTAATTTATATATGTGATAGACGAACTCCGCTTGAGTCACTGACACTTCTGTTTCATGATCAATATCACAGAAAGATATCATTTGGACATGTTCCGTGAGGTCGAGATTGTCTTCCAAGTCTTTCTCTGTTAAGGAAGACCCAGGACTAATGGACACAAAATTTATGAGTAAAGAATGTACCATTTCCTTAATATAATCCTTGCTAGCGCGACTTTGTAATTTTTGAACCACTTCAACGTGAACTGGCGGACTCATTTTAGCGTTTATAACTTTTATAAGGTGTTTAAGATGTATTTATCTACTCCTGTCTTCTTTTTACCGGTCAAAATATTAATTCAAATATTACCTACTATCATAGCCCCGTAATGTTTACAAAATCAAAATAACTGACCAATAAGTATGACATATGGAATTTAACCATAGAGTAAGTTTTTAACATCCAGACCAAAAGATAAAATTTTAATAATGTACAAAAACTAAGTACTTTATATGCGGGTAACTTTAAAGAACATGAAAACATTTTGCTCAAATCCTGATTTCCTAACTATAGGTCTATCAAAATTTCATGACAAGTAAGAAAATCAAAGTTCTTAGTTTATAATATGGCAAACTACAAGTCATAATAATATATTTAATAATAATGGCTGAACACAGGTCAATTTAACAAATATTTAAAATGATGTGTGAATACTTTACTACCTATTTTCATTTCTAAGATTCAAATGAAAAAAGAAACTTTTTTTATACAATAATTTGTCAAAATTTGATAAATTATTATTAAGTAGACTCAGCTCAGCACCATATGCAGTAAGAAATATTCGAGAGTTGACTGATGTTGATACAGCACGACTTGTCTTCTTTAATTATTTTCACAGCATAATGTGGTACGGTATTCTGCTGTGGGGGAATGTTGCCGACATTCAAACTATTTTTGTACTGCAAAAGAGAGCGATTCTGGCACTTTATAATTTAGCCAATTGTTTTTCATTGGGGCAGAAATTTAAAGAAATAAACATAATGACAGTGTCATGTTAAATTACATATTAAAACTTAATATAGATTCATAAAAACAAGGATAGCTTTTTGAAAAAAAGTTATGTATATTCTATAAATACCAGAAATAGAAATAAACTTGTAGCACCTGCCTCGAAGCTCCAAAAGATAAACAAGTCGTTTCGAGGTCAATGTGTCCGATTTTATAATAAAATCCCAAATGATATTCAAAACTTAAGTATTAACAAGTTTAAATCCGCAATTAAATGTAAATTATGTCAGCCTATTACTCAGTTGTGGATTACATAGAATACAAAAATGCTTGGGAATAATTTAGCGCATTCTATTTCTTAAGTGGAAATGTGATGTGGGCTAGAGTGTTTATTATTATTATTTTTTCCATTTTTTATGTTTCACTTAACTTTCTCTTTTATTTGATCTTTTTTTCCTAATCTTATGGCCATGAGTTTGTTTGCCCTTTCTTCTCATAAGGCTCAACCCCTTGAAAACGGGCGGTTTTGGATTGGCACAGGTATATCATAAATTTTGTGTAAGCATCATTTTTATAATAAAAAAACCTTACTTTTTGACAAAACAGTGATTGTTGCTATTATGTGTGTGTTGATCTACGACTTTAGAGTCCACATAACTTCACTATTCTCTTTCTCCCATGCAAAAACAATCGGCTATCACTACAGAACTCATGTACAGAACTGTGTAATACTAGTGTAATGAACTGACGCACTATATGGACACGTCGCAAACAACCGTGGTTGTAACAACTATCAATACGCAATGTTGATAAATTGGAGAAGTCGGTTAGAGAAATCAGTTTTAAAAAGTGAGACAAAGGTGGATTTTAATATCGAAAATACCAACAGTTTTATCGATTACTAGTTTTTAATTTGGATTAATTTTGTATACATTTCTGTGGTAGCCCACAGAAATGTATGTGCTTTTTTCATTAAGAATGTTCCATCCTTCTATTGTTTGCCAGCACTTAAAAGTCAGAGTTCTTAAAATGATCTGAGCAAATGACACTAATTTGATTAAATATTACTACATGTATATAAAAGGTAACGCCCTCTTTTTGTAAGCTTGACGTGGCAGATCTCTTTTTACAGCAAAAAACTTAACAATTGGGAATTTTGTAGGATGGCTACTATCGTCTATTATATATCTCAGTAGCCAAATAGATTTAGTCTAGTGAGCGGTATGACTACTCCCTACCGTGTTGCTATATAGGTTATAAAGTTTAACTATTATTACAATTATAACTTTTTAGATTTTTCGTCAAGTGTGCTGTTAATTTCATAAATTCATAGTGATTAATTTCATAAATTCATAGTGATTAATGCTCATATCTCTATGAATAATATTATCTAATTTTTTGACAGGCTTCAAATGGAACGTGAGAGCTGGCAACCCCACATGCTCCTTTTATTTGCTGCGCCATTTTATTTTTCTCATTGTACCTGTGGTATCAGCTGAAGATACGAGTTTTAGAAATTAAATGCGAGCAAACTGAATTAGTCCGTTGAGTTTTACAACACATTGGGGTCTAATTTTATACGGTGTAAATTGACAAATAAAGGCACCATGCGGCGTCAATTCGCACTACCTCTGGCTCTTCTATTTATAGCACTTGGAGTTTCTTCCAACGCACAAAGTAAGTGAAAAAAAATGAGTTTATCCTAATTTCAAATTGTGTAATGTTATATTATAGCCCAGATTTTATAGAAGGTTGATTGCTATTGCGTGCGTTGGTAGCACTCTATGCCTTTTACCTCGGGTTATCAATTTCGCGTTCAATAAAGAGGCAACGACTGCATGCATGATGTCACTGGATGAGTAATTAATTGCTGCGACCTCTTTATGTTCATAATGTTATTAAAAAACTACCAACCAGCTGGACTACCGGTCGACTCCACAGGAAACGGTATGTTCAACAATAAATGTCACAAGTATATGTGGTAGTTCACATTGATTTATTATTTGGACCAAGGACAGTCGAGATCGCTCAGCTTTTTGTGGTTTGACTTACTGATTTAATTACAATTCCAATGACTGTTGCTAGCTAAGCAATGAATGTTGCATCCCGACTAGTTGGATCCCTTCTGAAACTAGTTTTGACTCTATCCTTGTTATTGGAACATAGTCAAGTCTTTTGAAGTCCTATAATAATGGTAGGTGTTAAGATACAAAATATTAGTGTCTGGAAGGCTTTAAATGTATGGAAAAATAAGTAGTGTTCTTTGTGTCATTATTTGTTACATATGTGTTATCTGTGTGATAAGAGTGAGAACCAACATTGAATGTCATCCGACTGGTGTTTGAGACAGTTAAATAATCTTTTGTTATTCATTTTATTGGACTAGATCATATCTACCATTATTATATTTAACTTGGTCTTAAACTTATCAGATAATTACTACTTATCACAATCATTTCATTGTGTTTTTAAGAATAAAAATTGTAACAATTCATTGTGATAATTATTAAACTTAGAATGAATTTGTAAATGTATAACAGATATAAATATAACAATTAGCCCATTACAAGAAGGTTGATTCTGTAATGATAAATGTGAGGCAAAGTATAACCTTGCAGGTTGAAATATTTTTGTGTGTGCTCAATGCTTGTCACACGGGCTTACATGATGAGTCTTGATACATTTATTTACTAATGAACTCCTGTTCATTAAGTGGTAAGCATTGAATGTTGAAGAAAATAATCATTGTTGAATGTTACATTTTCTTGGTTTGTCTCTTGTCATCGCCTATAATTATGTAACCGTTGTTCTTTCAACTAGAAGCTATTTCTTTTGTTACACAATTGTTTTCCACACAATTTTTCTAAATTCATTCGTCACTTGTCAATTCAATAACCATTTTTTTTGTGTTTAACTATCCATTTATTCAAATTATTGCTGCCTTATTACAAAAATGCATGTTTTATGTTTAATTATAAATCAGTCTGGTCTTCAACGTGGTGCTTGGTATTTGGTTAATTTTCTGTTAAGTCATTTGGCCTAAATATTAAAAAAAGTTTTCCACTTTATGTATGGATGTTGGGTTTTTGTTCCCACTAAAATCTATTATGGCTCAAATTACACTGTATAGCAGAATATAAAATTAAGAATTGGAAATTAGTTGGAAAACAATTTTTTAATCCTGCATTTAAGAGAAAATCTGTGTTATTTTATGTTAGCAGATATTTTTATTGGAGGATGGCAATACTAAATACAATACTATTGTTTATGTTTTCTGCCGGAACACGAATGACTGACTGTATGTATAACATGGTTGATCAATTACTCTTTATATTTATAGAAATCTCACAATTCTTTATAGCATATGCATACATATATACATATGCAGCATACAAAAAAACAAAAGCATAAGCAGAACTGTCATCTGTCACCCGTGATGTGTCTGAGACGATTGTCTTGTCTTTGAATTGAACTTGTCAATTGTTTTTGCATTGCATTGATAGCTAAAGTTTTGTCCATATTTAGCCTAAAAATATGCCAAGATAAAAACGAAATTTTCTCAAAATTGCAGTTATTTACAATTTTCATATTATAAAATTAATATTAGTTCTAAGGAATTCTATCCAAAAATATTTGGTTCATTGCTACTGGTGCTATTGGTCCAAAACAAAGAAACATTTCTGGACAAGTCCTTTTCAGCACATATAAAAATACTGTTTCTATCTAGAACTCTGGTAGTGGTTAGTGTGGAATTTTATCATTCCTTAATATCTTTTTTATGTAATTTGCATTGAGTTGAATATTCACTATGCACAAATATTTTATAAAAATTACATTTCGAATTAATTATAAAATACCTGAAGCTTTGTATAAATTACTTTATTGTACTAAGGTGTTCCTAGACTGAGTCCTTTAATACATTCCGTACCAGATATAGAAATTGCGATATGATACATTGGCATACATATAGTATATGGAACGAGGAGAGGTCGGTAGCAGTAGTAGCAGTGAGAATGCGGTAGTAGGTGGTTAGTGACGCATGGCGTGCGCAGACGCAGGCGATGAGGCGCGTGTCGCGGTGGATGAAGGGGCACCGCTCACTGTGGAGTGCGCGCTGCGTGTGGAGGAGCGAGCAGAGTGGCGGCTGGACGGGGGCGCCGTGCCCGCCGACCTGCGCCCGGCCGGCGAAGTGACGGCCGGCTCGCGCCTCACCGCGCGACTGCACGCGCCCTCGGCTCGTCCGCAGCACGCCGGCACGTACACGTGCGCGCGCGAGCCCGCCCAGCGCGTGCTCGTGCACGTGCGCCCCGCGCCCCTGCGAGCTGCACCCGGTACCGCCGCTCTGTCGCCGCTGCACTGTAGCGCTCGCATGCGACGGCTCGCCTCCGTCCGTACCCCGAGGACACTGCGCCTAACCGCTGCTGCACCACTAACTGCAGGCGCACTCGTCGTGCGGGGCCGGACGGGCTGTACCTCTACCACGCGAGTACTTGCCACAGACGCTTGTCGGCTTTCGACACCATTTTAAGCCTCAGTGAATACCTTCATAGAATAGCCCGTTGAATATGTTGAAGTGGAGCTGCAGCCAGTCCGTTCCAGGATTTAGTCTTTCGTGAGCCCTCGTGCAGTCGTTAAAGTGGAGTCCCTCGGAGTTTTAGTGAAAGGAGGCTTAATAATTGAGCACTCGGTGACAACGAGGCGACGCTCTTGTTTGTTGCGTCCAGTGCACGGTGATTCGAGATTTTTGCATCTTAACTGCCAGGAAATATTTGTTGCGTCACCAAATGATTGGATTTAGTATTGAGCCCGTCGCAGCAAATGTTCACTGGTTAAGCCAGGATCTACTGAATCGCTTCGCTCCTCGTACACGTTGGTAGTTAGATATTGCTGTATCGTTAGAGCCTAGCGAGAGTTTATACGTAATACGTATCGCCTTCCGTTAACCGTAACTATGGTGTGTATGATATAATCCTCAGTAAATAGAATACTAAGTTAAGGTTAACGTAAGTGATTGCAGAAAACAACTCTTGACTAAGCATTCTGTTACTAGTTTCTCTAATTTGTTTCTTTCGCATTGTATTGAAGGCTTGAAATAGTCGCAGTAGACATGATAGCAGTAGCCGTATGTAGTAAAAGTAAAATTTAGTCGCCGGCATCGGGACGGATCGATCGGCTGATACGCCTGAAGTTCGTGACGCCATCCCGGTGCTGTATCTTGTGCGGACTGTCGTTGATTAATCTACACTAGTATTAAGTAATAAGCCCACTAAATATATTAGATAAATGTTGTAGTAACGTTATCTATGTAGGTAATTAATGATAAGTATAGTATTGTTGAATTTAACTCTGCTATATGCTCAAGGATTGTGGTGGCGCATTGGCGCGTGGGTTCCTTAAGCGCGGTGCGCGGCCTCGTACATTTCCGCACGCCCTCGTCCACACGACCACTCCCCTCTACTCGCGCTTTCATTCCAACTAGAACATTTAGTCGTCGATACTAAGTCTGTGATTGGAAAATTCTTTTGAGATTTTATGGTTCTTGTATAAGGTGGTTTTTCAGATGAAGTAACATGATGATAGTTTGGTCGTAATTCGAATCTATAGTACGTATGGAGGGTATTTTTACTTTTAAACATTAAAAAACTATTTAAAAAAAGAGTTCATCTTTATATTGTTCAAGTCTTATTTGTGCATGTTCACATCTGTACTCTTTAGCATAAGATTCACTTCACCAAGTGGTACTCTCCGAGAACAGAATGCACGTTTTAGCCAAATCGTCGTCATAGTATCGTATTTTTTTTTCAAGTTTATCACGTATCTGATAGTTCCATCGACTCGACGATTGAGCCTTCTTTGAATTCCGTAACGTACATTAAACAAAAATGGAAGATACCGATGAACTAAGAACCTCCTTTTTGACGTTTTTAATAAAAAATATTTCACCAAGGAAATGTAATCCATTGTCAAATTAAAAATATCGAAATGAATAGTTCTTTACTTATTGTAATATGTAAGTTTTATGCAGCACTCCTTGTTAAATATTTAAAAAAAGGCAGTTAATTTGACAACAAAACAAAGTATGTAACGTGTATGTTATGGCATGACGTAGCCGTCCAGCATTTCTTAACCAAGCTCTACGCTCGGTTGTAATTCCCGTTGTGTCGTGGTATGTTGTGCTACCACCACTACTCGCCACTAATATTAGGGCCATGTCATTTGTTACACTGTAAACGGTGAGAGATTCCCTCTTAATAAAGGCAGAATTGGCGAATAATACATCTTAAATTTATCTAAATAAATATTTCAATTTCATTACACGTTCACATTGTGATTTGTAAGTTGTAACATCTATTGCACTCAAGTTTAATTCGCATGACACTAAATGTATAAATGTCTATTTATGGTTCTAGACCATGTATCGCGATATAAATACATGTCAAGGGCAACAAATAACTTGTTGTTTTTTGTAGGTAGTAGTTCCTATTAATCATAAATTTTATTGCTGTTTTTATGTTCTCGTGCTGTTTGATTTTTAACTACAATACTGATTTTACCTTTAGTGTGTGGTCTATGTCCTGGTTGGTTTAGAATGTTGATGTTGCAGCGGAGGGGCCGACGCCGGTGGCCGCGCCGACGAGCGCTATTCCTGCAGCGCCCGAAGCAGTTCACCCCGTGGTGATGTACGACGTGGGCCGCACTTTCACCCTCAACTGCAGTGTTGCCTCTACGCCCGGCGTCGCTATTGTGTGGTGAGTGGCGCATATTGGTGGTAACATTCTCGCATCGCGCGCTATGCAACACTCACACGACTCTTCTGTCACAGGAAAAAGAACGATACGGCTGTGGAGAGTCTGTGGGATCTACGCGGTCGCTATACTCTCGACAGAGAAGGTACAGTGTTTAAGTTGTCGTCGCGCACCACGGAGGACGACTTCGGCAACTACACGTGCTCGCTCGGCGATAACAGCGAGACCTGGGAAGTCCGGGGCCGTCCCCACGCCAAACTGCAACACAACACGAACGTCGTCGAGAAGCAGAACCTCAAACTCACGTGCAAGGTACGTATCCGGAAGCGCGAAACCGATCGCTGAGAACGACGAAAAACACGATATATATTTTGCAGCTGACCGGCAAACCTTACCCGGCGGTGACGTGGCTCTTCAACAACGGCACGGAGAACGGCACGGACGTGGCGGTGGCGCTGGGATCACGCGTGACGCTGCAGACGAGCGCGCAGGGCGTGGCAGGCGCCGAGCTGGTGCTGAAGGACGCCGAGCGCACGGACGCGGGCGAGTACACGTGCGTGCCCGAGGCCGGGCTCAGCGCCGCCACCACGCTGCGTGTCAAGGACCAGTACGCGGCGCTGTGGCCCTTCCTCGGCATCTGCGCCGAGGTGTTCGTGCTGTGCGCCATCATCCTGGTGTACGAGAAGCGCCGCACCAAGCCCGAGCTGGACGACTCTGACACCGACAACCACGACCAGTGAGTGCTCCCCGCGCCCCCCGCGCCCCCCTCGCCCCCCTCGCCCCGCGCCGCTCACGCCTGTGCTTGTTGTTGCAGGAAGAAGTCGTAAGCGGCCTGGGGCGGCGCCGGCGGCGAGCGGCCGCGGTCGCGCCGCGCATCAGCGTTGACTTGTGATCGTTGTTATGTTTCGTTCGCAATACATTTTATACTTGTTTTCATGTTACGTTAACGACGGAGCACCTCCGCCCGATCGACCGATTCCATCTCGCGCTCCGGGAGACGCCTGTTCACTCAACTCTTTTACGTTGTACTATAGCTATGTAATATATGCGCTGATTAGTGTACTTATAATTGGGATCGTTGAAGATATTCATTATAGTTCGGTTGTACATGCTTGTCTACCGCGCTGGTACCGCGGCGTAGAGGTTCCGTCCTGACAAAAGATTCCGAAAATCCTATTCTGGTAGGAAATGGTATGCGTAGTCGACTCCCGCAACCGCTGAATTGCTAAACTAAAAGTTACCATAGGCTCTCGTTTTCATTTGGTATTACGGAATTAAAAGCATACTTAAATGAACTGTTTTCTTTCCTTACCAGAATAGAGCTCTCGAGCTGTTTAAAACCTTTAAGCGTGTTCGGTTTATATTCCTCTGTGGCCGCGGTGCTCGGGCATTTCACCGCTTACTCCGACCATAGATATGTACCCATATCTTCAAATACCAAAAGATAGATTATATGTAATAAATTATTATGTTAATGTTCTTGTTTTATTTTCTACAAAAGAGGGCTTGCGGTCATACGCGTACTACGTTACGTGTTAACTAAACGGTAGAATTTATATGTCCTCAATCAAAATGAACACTTAAAAAAGCGAAGGGCACTAATGAAAACTAACTGATTACAAAAATTTAACACATCACAATCTTTAGACAGGTTACGTTCCTAATTTAATACTTATCTAGCTCTAGTCTAGCAGCAACTTCTAAGTATACTTTTGGATAAAGTTAAACCGCACGAGCGTGGGTGTCACTCACGACTCGAGAGTTCCCTAAGAAAAGAAGCGATGGGCGCTGGCGAGATTCAAATTTGATTCTTTCGATTATTCAAACATCGTACCCACCGCGGGAGAGCTATGCTTCGCACTATGGCACTTATAGGCCAGGCTCGACCGGAGTCATACCAGGGCCTTACAGACGACCGGTGTTGAGCAATGCTCTCCCCGCCACCAGCACCGCTGCGCAACGTACCAACGCATGTGCCCCTATAGAGATATAAGCATAGTGAACACGGCGTACAGCTGTGTGCGTTACCCCAGGAAAATAATGTCGAAAATGGTCATTTAAACGTTATAGATAATTAGTTGCTCCCCTTCTGTAATTGTTAGGCACATTTTCAAATTTTTTTCACTTAAACTTTTTTAGTTATTTCAAAAAAACATTTCCTGCTGGGGTAACGTTTGAAACGTTACCGCAGCCAGACATTTTCTTTTTTAATTGTAATATTGAAATAAATTTTAGCTAAATAATTAGTTATCTGGACTAGGTAAATGTTACAACTTATTTGGTATTTGTATTTTCTTCGGCTGCGAAGTTATTCGAAATCCTGCTGGAGTAACGTTTGTGGGTTTGCTGGATCTCTGAAACGGGTAAGCGGATTGTAACCATCTTTTGTACATAACTTCTTAAGGATTAGTTTCAATTTGTTCGACAATAAAATAACAAAAATGATGGACAGTTTAAAAATTATTTAGGTAAGTATGAAAACACTTCAATACGTCCTAACACTTTAAATAAGACCTCTAAAGACTTACTTGAAACGTTATTCTATTGCTTGTAACTACCTTGAAATGTATACGAATTTTCGTAAGAATACTGTAAGTGACTAAAAAGTTATGATGAAATGTAGCTCTCCACGTTCACGATCACAATGTGTGCGGCCTTTTTTGGCCACCGATAAACCTGTGTGTGGATATATAAACTGAATGTTATGCCAATAATTAGTTGTTTAGTTCAGTTGTCTACCTGTAGAATTTCAGCGTCGTACATATAATAATTTACGAGATAATTAAATAAAAGTCATTAGAAGGTGCAAGTCCGTGGTAATCCGACCATAGCTGCCTGTGAGTGGAAGCGATAAAGGCAACGAGAGACATGGATGCCCGATAGTGCACTCGGACTCTATTTAGCTAAGCTTATTTATTTATTCTTTATTGTACACACTGAACACATACATATATATAAGTAACAAGGAAATGTCATGTACAAAGGCGAGCTTAACCCGAAACTGAGTTTTCTTCCAGCAAACCTTGAGCGAATAGAAGACAACAGAGAAACGTAAGGTGCGATTGACTAGCGTGAAGCGTGTAAGAAGAAAGAAAGAAATGTGTGCCACAGCAGAGACGCCTCGTTGCTCATATGTTCATCGAACGCCCACGCTGGAGTCTGAAAAAACGCCAGTGTGAAGAGGCTCCAAATAATGAAATGTAGTAGTGGTTCCAGTGATAAAGATGATTTAAAATGATAATGAATTGTGATGATGACCATGATAGTGATTCGTCATAGAATAGATAATGATAGTCAGCACCATACATTTATATACATTATACGAGTATAGGTACACATTTACAACATTTGTTCAGGATTGTTCGTAATAAGAAAGAAACGAAAATTCAAACACCGTTGTAAGGAACTACATCTAGGTTATAATTAAATTATTTCGCCTGAATTATTAAATGAAATATCTTAAAGTACGACAAAAGTAGATGATAAAGAACGTAGTGTCCAATCTAATCTACTGAACGATATTTGGAGCAAAACTAAGTAGTGCTACAATGTTACAAAACTAAGTGACTAATAAAGTACCCATAAATTAGCTGATTAAATTCTCACCAAAAGTTGATCAAAGTCGTTGCAAAATAATTAGCTGATTGAATGGTCCCCAAAAGTTAATAAACAAAGAAGTTTCGGAACAAATGATTGAACTATAGCCAAAAGTAGATGATCAAAGACGTTTCATCACAAATTAGCTGAGTAAACTGTCGCCAAAAGTTGATGATCAATGTCGTTTTAAAATAATTAGCTGATCGAAAAGTTAATGATTAAAGACGTTATAAAATAACCGATACCTTAAAAATCATAACTTCATGAACATATTGCTCAAAGCAGCAAGACAATGACATTATTCCCTGGTATAAAGCGGGGCACGGGTAACGTTTCTAAGTCTTTATTTCTCTCTACACATAAAAAATCACGTCACGGTCACGGTAACGGATCACTTCCAACACTACTAAGGTCAGATTCCATCTATTCTCGAACGTTTGAACACTTCGAATTTTTAACACGCTGTTACTGTATTTTTCTTAAATAAAGTCACTGGTATCTCGACAACGGTGCGTGCTACAGCAAAAATAATGAAAAGAATTCATAATTCCCAAAAAAATTCTTCTGACCGTCAACCAGCCACCTGTCGCCCTGGCAATATAGTACCTGGCAACATCTCCTCACCTCGAGCGTTTAGTTTTCTTTGTTCAGAGTTCTATGGGCATACGCTCACTACATCAAATCCGGCGCGCCTTGCACTTGTGTCCGGCGAGTGAACATTTAGTTGTTAACAAAGCGTATCCACTCGTGGATCACCAGACGTTCAGTAGTTGACAACGCGGCGTTAACCCGTTGACCACCTGTCGACAATGAGTGGACACCGAGCGACAAGGTGGTGCTTCTAAGGTCAAATGAGTCCTTCAGTCAGTTCGAGGGTGATTTGCTATCCAGGACGAAAAAAAGTGCCCCGTTTCGTATGCATACTTCAACTCCATCATTTTCTTTTGGGCGTTAGTTTTAGTTCCTCAAAAAATGCTGAGAACAAAATATTCAGGAAGTTATGATTATTAAGATTCAGTTATTTTGTAACGTCTTAATCATCAACTTCTGGCAACAGTTCAATCAGCTAATTATTTTATTTATTTTTTTATGGTTATGCCATGTTCATTTTCTAATCTGCCATTTTCAATCCAGACATTTTTTAGTAGTTACAATACGCGCCAAAAAAATCTGCGCCAGTAAAGTTAGCTGCAAACCACATGTTGCGCAGTTACTTTTGCAAGCTAACATACTGTTGTTGTTAAAAATGTTTGTACGATCTACAATTATTTGTTTCACAGTTTGTGTGTTTTCTTTGTGCATATACTGATTTACAAAAAAAGTATATTAGTAGTAAATCAGAAAATCTAGCTTTCATTGTTCCAGTTCTTCTTAGTTTAGTGACGTACCTATGTGAAAAAAATAATGTCACGTGTTAATTAAGACCTTTAGCTACATTAAGTTATTTGCAAGGTCAAATTGGCCTCATAGAAGCTCGGTGTGCTGAATTGATCGAGGCAGTATTTCACTCCGGTCCATATGGAATACTGTTCTCATCTCTATGCAGGGGCACCCTAGTACCAGCTTCTCCCTTTTTTTTTTCCGTGCGGAAATCCCCTCGGAACCAGCTTCTCCCTTTGGACCGTATCCAACGAAGAGCGACCCGAATTGTCGATAGGCAAAAGATCTCCGACCGACTCCGATCCCTATGCGTTATGTAGAAATGTAGCTTTACTTTGCATTCTCTATCGTATATATCATGGAGAGTGCTCCGAGGAATTATCTTCACTTTTTGCCTCGCACAACCAATGTGTTGAACAAGTTATCGTCTGCGGAATTTCCGAATCGATACGACCTCCAAACTGTCAAGAAAAGAGCGTACTCCTTCCTCAAAGGCCGGCAACGCGTTTGTGACTCCTGAGCTGCATGCGTTCATGGGCGGCGGCGATTGAAACAATATTCAACAATTCATCATTTGTTCCTATTTTATAGAAAATTTACCACAACTGGTATCAATTACGTGCGTGCATACTAGGAAAGCAGAATGACGTTGTGTAAGACGAAGCTTTCACGCACACTATTATTGAAAACTCGGCTCATTTATTTTTGCAACATCGAGACAGCGAGACGCATTACGTGGCGAAAAAATATAAATATACAACATGTTTTGCGTATTGAAATGCTGTAAAAACCGTAGTAACCGAAAGAAAAATAATCCAGGAATCACGTTTCGTAGGTAAATTAATAATTCAATCTCTTATTTCCAGACACTGCATTAAAATCAATTTGTATTCGCTAGAACAAAAGAATTCTTTATTAGCCGAGTATTGGGAATTTTCACGTGTTTAAATTACCCGAAATATAGGCTTTTTTTGGATTTATTATTAAAAAAAAATTATTAAGGTTTTTTATTTATTTACTTCCAGGTATTATATTTCATATTTATTTTAATATACTATCATCATCATCATAATAATACCTTAACTGTCGAAATCCATCCAGCCAATTGGAAGATACAGGGTAATAAAGTTTCCCGGCGGACTCACCGTCCGCCTACCGGCCCATAGTGTTGCTTGAGGAGGTGTGCAAGCTCTTTGAAAGAGTGATTGCAAGGCGCCTCGTCAAGCATCTCGTGATGGTTGGGCCGGATCTGGTGGACAACCAGTACGGTTTCCGTCAGGGGCGCTCCACCGTGGATGCGATCATGCGCGTGAAGGCTCTGGCGGAGGAAGCAGTCTCCCGGGGCGAAGTGGTGTTGGCGGTGTCCTTGGACATCGCCAACGCGTTCAACACTATGCCCTGGAGCTGCATCAGGGAGGCGCTCGTGTATCACGAAGTGCCTCTCTACCTCCGCCGCATAGTCGGGGCATATTTGTCGGAGAGAGCCGTCGTCTACCCCAGTAGGACCGGTCTCGGTAGGCGTGAAATGTCGTGCGGTGTTCCGCAGGGGTCGGTGTTAGGGCCACTCTTGTGGAACATCGGCTACGACTGGGTGCTTCGTGGTGCCTTCTTGGATGGTGTCGCCGTCGTGTACTACGCGGACGACACACTCGTGACGGCGCGCGGCAAGACGCACCACGAGGCAACCCTGAGGGCCACGGCCGGGGTTGCCCAAGTCGTTGAGCGTATCCGGCGGCTGGGTCTCGAGGTGGCTCTGCACAAGTCCGAGGCCCTGTTCTTCCACGGGCTTCGGAGGAAGCCGCCTGAGGGATCTAGCCTCACGGTAGGAGGCACTCGCATCGGCATCGAGCCCTCGATCAGGTATCTGGGGCTCGTACTCGATGGCCGATGGGACTTCGGATATCATTTCCGAGGTCTGGTCCCTAAGTTGGTTGGGGCAGCGCGTGCGTTGGCGCGGCTGCTGCCCAACATGAAGGGACCCGATGACTCCTGCAGGAGAGTCTACTCGGGGGTTGTGCGGTCCATGGCCCTTTACGGGTGCCCGGTATGGGCGGGGGCCCTGAAGGCCAGCAACGTCGCGATACTGCGACGACCGCAGCGAATGCTGGCCATCAGGATCATAAGGGGGTACCGCACGATCTCCTTTGTGGCAGCGAGTCTCCTGGCCGGAACTCCACCGTGGGACCTGGAGGCGAGAGCCCTTGCGGCACTGTATCAGTGGCGCAAGGAGGCGCAGGAGTTGGGTCGATGCCCCGAGATTCGAGAAATCGATGACCGGAAATCCCAACTCCGCCAGGTCATCATAGGGGAGTGGAGGGAACGACTCGGGTAACCGAGCGCTAGGCACGCCGTCATTGCGGCGGTAAGACCCGTTATGGAGGATTGGCTCGAGAGGCGTCACGGGACCCTCTCATACCGATTGACGCAGGTGATCACTGGGAAGGGATGTTTCGGAGATCACCTGTGTCTGATCCGCAAGGAGCCAACGCCTGAGTGCCACCACTGCGATGGCCAGACCGTGGACACGGCTCTCCACACGCTGGCAGAGTGCCCGGCGTGGGTTGAGCAGAGGCGAGACCTCGTGGCGGCCATCGGAGTGGGAGTTCTCTCGCTCGATAGCCTGATTGCGGCTATCGTGCGGAGCGAGAGTGCGTGGAACTCTGCCGTCTCCTTCTGCGAGCAAGTTATGCTCGCGAAGGAGACGGCGGAGCGGGACCGGGAGAGGTTTAGAACTCTCCCGGCCCGCCAGGCCCGGGCACGGGCCAGGCAGCGCAGGCGCCGGAGGTCGCAGAACGACCTCCGTCCTCCATAAGCGCAGGCCTGGGGGTGACAGGTGAGGCCATCTGTCACCCTAGCAGAAGCAGGCCGGGGTGGCGGCGAGCGCGTTGCGAAGCGCGCTCGCTTCCAGGGAGCACAGGGAACATGGGGTTCCCACACGGGGGGGGTCGTCTACTCGTCTGTAGATGACCCGAGGTATGTCGGGGCACCAGGGCCTTCCTTTCTAGGGTATACCTGGTTCCCCGGCTATTAGTACCCGGCGAAGGCGTGCGGTTTTAGTCGGTTCGAGTCCGACATGCCACCGACAGGTGGTATCCGAGGGGATTTCCGCACGGAAAAAAAAAAAAAAAAAAAAAGGGTAATAAAGTTTATAAATAAACATACAAGATACGCGCGAACAACATAACATTTCCTTGGCAGTCGGGTAATTAAAGTAGGTAAAGTAAAACAAAATATGAAAAATAAAATCACGGCATTATTATCTTATTAATTAAATTCATAAAGTATTTATACCTTTTTCATTTATTTTTTATTTAGATTCATTCAGTATATAATTAATTAAAAACTGGTAAGATATTAAGTTAAATCGGTTTAAAAAGGTTAGCTACTAGGCCGCATGTGTTTCAATTATGTACTACACTAAAAAAAAAAAAATGGCGCCACTTCAAAATTAAGTGAATTCGAATTACATTTCAAATACTTTTTCACATAATACAAACTAATAATTACGAGGCAAAAATGGATATATCGGATATTAATAAAGTGGCCAGTAGAAAAAGGATGAACACTGATGCAGAAAAACTCAGGGAAAAAGTATCGCGAGAAACTGCTAAAATTATTAAATTGAAGGTATTTACGAAGGCTATTATGTTAATTATGATCTTTCTGAATTTGTCAATTTATAAAATCGGAGACCGAAATAACGCTAGCACTACAACTAATATTGCGTTATCTAGATGATTGAAATTGATTTGGAGATTAAATTAATTGTTAATAGTTCACATAAAAACTTTAAAATTAACCAGTTTGTAGATTAGGCTTATTTCTGCACAACAAGGATCCAGTGATGAGCTTAATAAACGAATTGCACAATAAGCAATGGCTGTAGTGTAGGTAAGTGCTAAATAGTAGTGAAATTCACGTAGTGTGTATTTTTATGTTCCTAGCATACTTTGTACTAGCTGATGTGGTGTTAGTGTGGAGTAATTAATTATACTAGTATTATGATAGGACTATACCACAGGACATCTTTATATGCAATATTTATAGGCCTGCTCCGATCCTACCGGCCGGCGCGGCCCGCTGCCACCCGTGACGGACGTGGCCAATGCGGCCGTCGCCGCTTGGGGCCGAAGCGGCGACGGCAACTCTACATTAAATGCACAACGTATCTAACGTATTTAATTGGATAGGGAATAATAATGTACTGTTTAAAATACCTTCGTAAATAACCCATTATTGTTTTGTAATATTTAAAAGATAAAAATGGTTACTGTGAGTTATTCTTAGGAGATAGATATATACCATTGCAAACCTTTTGTAGATATTTTTAAGATTTACAATCCCGCAGTACATTATTTTGGTATATCTCGTAAGGATTAGTCAGCGTTTGCAATGTAAGCGCGCAGGACCATTTTATACATACAAATCTTCTTCTTGAATCACTTTCTCTATTGGTGAAAACCGCAACAAAATCCGTTGCTTAGTTTAAAAGATCTAACCGTACAAAACAAAAAGCGACTTTATTTTATACTATGTAAATGAGATTTACGCGTTCAAGCACACTTTTCAACTTTGAAATATTAGTGTTATCTCACTTAGGAAAAGGCCAAGACTATGTCTATGTCGATCGTTTCTAGACTCCGTGATCTGTCGTTACTGATAGAAAAATACTACCAATGTGTCCAATTTGTGACTAGAACTTCGGATATAGCATATCATCTATTTGGGAGCAATAGACCCATAGTTGGTCGACTAGTAGTGCAGTGCGGTGTGCTCTGTTCCACCGTTATCTTTGATAGGTTGATCCTACTCACATTACTAATCGTGTGCGAGAGAAGCCGAAACAATCTAAAAATAATATGTCCTTCCTATGAAGTTGGAGATTTTTAAAAGCCAGCGTTTTCCGAATTAATTATCTGTGGATTGGCGCCTAAATCGAAATTCGTATAAATTTTATTCAAAAGCCACGTTATTTTCATTTAAAATTCAGTCATTTGTTTCAGATAGTGTATTGTTTTTGTGAAATTGTATTAGTTATAGGCACCATGGATAAACTGAAAATTCATTTACAATTTTCGAATATGAGTTCCAACATGGAAATACCGCTGCGCAAGCAACACGAAACTTTAACGAAACACTAACACTGCTTGCATAAACAATTATGCAAGCAGTGTTCGGCCCGTACACGCGTAATCGTTTTAGATGTGGAACGAGCCTCGCGGTAGGCCGTTAACTATAGTCGACAACGACGAATTGAAGGAGATAGTGGAAGCGGATCTAACTCAATCTACGGCTGAGCTTGCTGCGGGCTTTGGAGTTAGTGTCAAAACAACATGGAAGCACTTGCGTCAAATCGGAAAGATAAAAACTAGATAAGTGGATGCCACACGAACTAAGCAACCATCAACGAGACTTACGCGTTGAAGCATGCATAGTACTACTGAATCGGCTTAGACTCGAGGGAATTCTGAAGTGAATTATGACCTGTGATAGAAAATTGATCCTGTACGAGAACCGTAAGCGTTCGTCTCAGTAAGTGGACCCGGGTACAACACCTAATCAAAAAAGATGATTGTGACTGGTGGATCAGTGCCGGACTTGTACATCATCGCTTCTTACCGAATGGCGCTACAGTGACAGCAGATGTCTATTGACAAGAATTGCAAACATGAATGGAGGTAGAAGTACACAATTCAACAAACATATCTGGTCAATCGCTTATCCCCATTGCTTCTCCATGACAACGCCCGGGCTCACATTTCACGACAGACCATCGCAAAGCTACGAGAGTTACAGCTGGAAGCTCTCCGTCATCCACCGTACTCACCGAACTTCGCCTTAACAGATTTTTCAAAATAATTTTAGTGGAAAAAAAAACAACACCCGAGAGACAGTACGAAACGCTTTTGCTGACTTCATTGCCTCCAGCTTCAAATTTCATTGTCCAGCTGACTTCTACAGTAAAGGGATAAACAAACAGCCATCAAAATTTAGATAATTACTTAGATTAGCTAAAATAAAAAAACCAAATTGTTATATATTTAAATATTCATACAAATCTCCAACTTCGTAAGTGAAGACCTAATTAATAAGTATATTATTGAAATACTAAGCATAAAAGCAGTCGTTAAATGTATGTTTTAGTTTATAAAATAATGACATATTTATCTTCCATCAAAATGATTAAAACGATCTCGATAAATGATGTTCGACGCGTGAATAGGTAGCGCAGGACACAGCGTACTGGGACCTGAAGGAGAAGCTACAGCAGCTGGAGGCGAACCACGAGCGTCTACAGCAAAATATGGTCGAAGTTCAGATGCAGCACGAGGCGGTTTCAGGACAGTTTCAGGAAGAACTGCGCTTGCGCCCTGACACCCTTAACAAGTGAGTATCGAGTTACCGGTAACTAGTTTTACGGATTCCTTTAATGCGTCCGTGATGTGCAATAGCGATCGTACGTAAAATAGACATCGATACTACTTCGTTCCTCCGACAAACGAGAGACGGCTTCGAGCTCGATAGTGAGAAAAGTAAAAACGGTAACAATATGAAGTCAGAAAGACGTGACCGATTCGAGTCTATCGTCGCTTCGATTTGATCCGTCACAACGCGTCAGGTTGAGCGGTACGCGCGACATTTGCGACGCGCTCGAGGAGTACGGCGAGCGGCTGCGGCGCAGCGTGGCGCGCTGCCGCGGCGACCAGCGGGCCCTCGGCGCCGCGTACGGCGCGTGCGGCGCGCGCGTGCGCCTCCTGGCGGCGCAGGCGGGCCGCGCGCGCGCGCAGCTCGCCGAGCGCCGCCGCGCGCACGTGCAGCTGCTGCTCCGCGCCGACGAGCAGCTGGCCGAGGCGCGCGCTCGCGCCGACCGCCTCCAGGCCCGAGGCGACGAGCTCACCGCGAGCCTGGAGCGCTGCAGAGCGGACTTGACGCGGGTGAGTCGTTGCAAGTGGTCGTCGGACCCCCCCTAGAGAGATTTATCAAAATGGGCTCTCTAGTCGTTCGGGTTATCGGTAAGAGGTACAGATCAGAAATCTCCCAAAACAGAGACCCAGTTTCGTGATTACCGAAAAGCAAACAGACGTGGCTAACGGCATCCGTGTATCGTGAGATCGAAAAGACATCTCCCGACTAGGACATAATATATTATTATGATTTATCGAAATCCCCGTTTATTACAAGCCGATTGATGTCTAACGTGAAGCAATAGTAGATTAGTAGCCAAGGGCTGTAAGGCATCGATTGCAGCCGCGAGGGCGCCTATAGTTCGAGGGTGCAATTGATGCTTACACCCAAGCTAACTATTCTGCTTTATATCTCGATTATTCTCGTAAGTAGAAAAAAACCGGCATTACAAGAATCAAACATTTTATTTGTTGAAATTTAAAGTGAAATGAGAACAATTTTCAAATTTTAAGGACAGGTGTTTTTTGGGATCTTCATTACAATTATAAAATAATCCCAAAAACAACAATTTTTAAAGTAAAAGTTTTCTGTTCCCGCCTTTTTTCATTAAAAAGAATCAAGTAAAGAACTTTTTAAGTTTTTTTTTCAAGATCGAAATTGAGCTTCGCCGTTCGATATTTAAAATTGATGACTATTATACTCACAGGAAGACAAGTCATTGGGCTGAATGCATGATGTCTATTGCCAGTATGATGGTTAGATGTACGCGAACTTTTTGAAAGAAAGAAGTGTTTTTTTTAATTACTTATCGCCCTAGGGCTTTTCTAGCTACATTATTACCCTAGAGCGCTAATTAGTAAGTAAGAACCTACTTACCGAACATGAGAGATGTAAAATTAATTGTTAACCTTTGTTGTTACACTGTTAAAGAAAACATACTAAAGTAAGTTATAGGTAGAGGTACATAGGATTTAGTAATAAAATAAAACGCAGTAGTGTAAGGTGGTCGTGGTCGGCAGCGCGAGGAGGCGGAGGCGTCGCTGCGCGAGGACGTGGCGCGTCTGTCGCGCGCGCTGGACGAGCGCGACCAGACCCTGCGCGCCGCGCTCGCCGAGCATCGCCGGGAGTGAGTCGCTACCCAACCCTTATACGTTGAACACAAATCATATTTAAGGCAAAACAACAATCCAGATCAGTTTTCTATCCTTTTTAATGATAATAAAATAGGTAGTGATAAAACAGGATCACAGGCTGTCAGAAAATAGAAGCGGCACTAAACGTCGACCGCAACAGGCGGTGCACTGGCGCACCGTGCAGTGCCATCGACCGGTCGACCTTTTTTGTAGGCGCGTACAGCCCTTTGGTGGCGACGCTGGGTCCGAACAAAACTGACTTTCTACGCAGTTTAAAAAGCTTTTGAGCTCGATTGCAGGTCGGAGGAGGCGCAAACACGACTCGCTGCGCTGGAGCGTGAAGTGGCGGAGACGCGAAGCGCCGGGGCCGACGCTGCGGCCGCCCTGCAGCGCTGCACGTGCGAGCGAGAGGTCAGCGCGAGGCGCGCCATTGAGAGCGAGCCGGCGTCTCTTGCGTCTCCCATAACGTTTTATCGCTGTTTCAGGAAGCCTTAGTCGCCGTTGAACGGAAGAAAGCGGAACTCGCCGAGTTGAGCGAAAAGAAAAGGGAAATCGAAAAAGTCGTCGATGACAGGGACCAGGTATGAGAGGGCGTTCGGTGACGTTCAGGGACTGATTTAAACGATTGTTTCGTGAGTGTCTGTCGTAGGTCGTGAGATCGCTCCAACTGGAGGTGAGTCGCGCCAGAGAGCAGTCCTCGACAGTGGAGGCTGAAAAGCGAGAGCTGAGGGAGCGACTGAACGAAGCGGAGAGGGAGGGCGCAGCGCAGGCGAGTCGCTTGCAGGAGCTCACGCGTCTCGTGCGAACCCTGGAGGGCGATTTGAACGAAGCTCGGGAGGCACACGCGACCCAACGGTACGTACAGGACACCCGATATAATTAACTCGAACTTGTCAATACACAGCAATTCATTGATCGCATGTCCAGATAAAATTACATACCTGGCTATTTGTTTTCATCTGCCAAAGTCGCCCATGTCTCCATGAGGAAACCTTATCCATAACTGCACACAGCTGTGAGTGATAAGGCTTCCTGGAGAGTGCGTGTTAGGTTTCCATTGAATACTGGTCTCGACGTTTAAAGGATTGTAATCAAAATCAACGGAGGTCATTTTGAATGAGTTTCATATATTTTTCATGCTGTGTATTAGTATATTGTTAATTGATGACACACATTATTGTAATGAGCGGTTTGTGCGATAAAAAAATGTTTTTTTCCTGTAACAATATTTATAGCAGGAATACGATTATACGATTCGTTATAAGATTTCGATCGCACATCCCTCCAGCGCCACGGACGCGAGGAAACTCGAGGAGTTGGGCGCCCTAGTGGCGGAGCGCGAGCGCGAGCTGGACGCGAAGACGGGCACCGTGGCGCGGCTCATGGCCGACCTCAAGGGCGAGGCGCAGGCGCGCTACCGCGCCGACGCCGCCCTGGACGCGGCGCGACACGCGCACGACGCCGAGCGCGACGCGCACCGAGCCGCGCTGCGCGACAAGGACGCCGAGCTGGCGCGCCAGCTGGCGCTCGTCCTCGACCTGCGCGGCGACAAGGCGCGCCTCGAGGACAAGCTCGGCGGCATGCAGGCCACCATCGACAACGTGCGCAAGGAGCTCACGGGCCCCGCGCCCCCGGCCCCCGCGCCGCCGGCCCCCGCCGAGCGCGACGAGAGCGCGCCCGCCAAGGCGCCGCGCGACGGCGACGACCTGCTCTATGGCTTCCTGAGCGACGGCAGCGTGGACAGCGACGTGCTCGACGTGAGTCGCACGCGCAGTTCGATTGTACGACGAGGTGCCGGTGAAAGTGATCGTCTCGAGGGGATCGATACGGATAGTATGCGTACGGTACTTTTAGCTCCGACCGACCGGAGTGATATGCCGTCGATTTCCCAATAGATCTCTCACGAATCGTGAACCCTGATCGTTTTGGAACGATAAAAGGGATCGGTTTCGTTTCATAGATAGGTATTTAAGTGTTACATGCTGGTGTGCGCAGGCGCGCGAGGTGAGGCGGCGCTTCTCGGCGTTGGCGCGCGGCGCGGAGGGGGGAGCGGCCATGGTGCGCGGCGCGGAGGGGGGGGCGGCCATGGTGCGCGGCGCGGAGGGGGGGGCGCCACTGTCGCTGTCGCAGATCAAGAAAGACTTCAAAATAAAGAGGCGCACGTTTTTCAAGAGCAAGCGTCTCGAAAACGACTCGCGGAAACTCAAGGAGTAAATCCGATCCTGTCTTCCGTTTTGTTTGTGTTGATTTTATAATTCATAGTACATTAAATATATTACATTTATGCAACCGCATTTGATTGCCGAGCGAGTCAAATTCACAAAACCCTTGGAAGAATGTAAAATCCTTTTTAAAAAAGAAAGTTGAACCGACATCAAACAATAGTAACAAGGAGAAAAAAAAATTTAAAATTTTACAAATCTAATTGTAAAACTAATATACCAGGTAACATTGTAGTAGCACTAGATACCTTCTTGTCTTTTTGAAGTCGGTGCCAAGACCGATGCACAATAAGTAACCGATCCGTCAGTTCCGATCTCTATATAAAATCTCATAGGTTAGGTTTTCTTTTTTTTTTTACGTGGTGGAATGCATTTACGCACTTCGCTCCCCCCCCGCGGGGGCAGGAGGTTCGCTTCGTGTGGGACTCCTGACGGGCCAGACTACCGACTAAACCACCACGGTGTTCCTCTTTCGCCTAATCCGAGCCACGGGATAGTTTGCTCACCGCGACTCGGCTAGGGACGCCCTATTTAACGGGCTCGCCTCTCTCGAGGCCCCACCATCCGGGCAAATACCGTGCCCAGATAATGGGGCCTGTCCTCATCATGAATGCACCCCAGGAACACAGAGGGTCGCATTCCGCCACAGTAGTATGGGGCGGCAGGTCCTCGAGCACCTCCCTGAGCCTCGCAGCCAGTTGGTCGGCTTTTTGGGCTCTATCGGCGCCAGCCACCTCCAGGATCCGACCGAACTGAGGCCGGTTTAGGCGCCTTTGGCTTAGTCGCCTTCGGCCTAGCCGCCACTTCGCTCCATGTCCCGTTTCGCGGGAGCGGGGCGGGGGCCGACGAGGAAGCAGACGGGGGCTACTGCCGCGACTGTCGGGCAGCCTCCGCCTCCTTTGCCGCAGCGGTCTTCTTCCCCGTCTTCTTCCAGTCCAACGGGGGAAGAAACGAAGAAGCCAACGTTCAGGTTACCCGACCCGCACCCCAGGTTAGGTTAGGTTTTTTTTTTTTTGGTGTCTGGACACTGGAGTGTCCTGGAAGAGGTCGAGACGCTCTCGGATCATTTGTACATCCGATTCGAGCTCTCCCGGTCCCAGGACCCCATTAGGGGTCACGCGGCGCGGCGCCCTTCCCGCTTCCCGCGGTGGGCTATCGCCAAGCTCGACAGGGACCTACTAGAGGAGGCGGCCATTATTTACTCTTGGCTGTCTTCGCAGGCCCCGACCGAGGAGGTCGACATGGGGGCTGGTCGCTTCTGCAATGCGATTACGCAGATTTGCGATGCGGCCATGCCCCGCGTTCGTGGTTGTCGGCCTCCAAGGAAGGAGGTCTACTGGTGGTCCCAGGAGTTGGCGGACCTCCGTGCGGCCTGTGTACGTGCCCGGAGGTCCCTCACCCGTAGTCGGCGACGTCACCGCGGGGTCGGTGAGGAGGTGGACCGGCTTCATGAGGAGTACCGAGAAGCTCGGAAAACTCTGAGGCTGGCCATCTGACGCGCCAAGAATGCATGTAGAGAGGAGATGCTGGAGAGTCTCGAGCGTGACCCCTGGGGTCGCCCTTATCGTGCGGTGCGTCAAAAGCTCCGCACGTCGGGCCCCCCCCTTACGGAGACTCTCCAGCCCAGCTTCCTGCAGGAAGTGGTCGAGGGCCTATTCCCGCAGCGGGCGGAGCACACACCCCCGTCGATGGCTGCATCAGCCGGAGACGACGGAGGCAGCGAGGCTGATGTTCCGCCCGTCAGGGAATCGGAGTTGGGGGCGGCTGTTCTACGGATTAGATCCAAGAACACTGCCCCCGGGCCGGACGGGGTTCCAGCCCGAGTGATGGCCCGAGCCCTCGACTACATGTCGGACCACCTCAGGGAAGTGTTGAACGCTAGCCTGGCGTCCAGACGCTTCCCTGAGCGCTGGAAATGCGGGAAGCTGGTCCTGCTGCAGAAGCCGGGACGGCCTGCCGAATCGGTCGCGGCCTATAGGCCTATCGTGTTGCTGGACGAGGCGGGTAAACTTTTTGAGAGGGTGCTCTCTGCCCGCATCGTCCGGCACCTTTGCGAGGTTGGCCCCGATCTGTCGGACGCCCAATTCGGTTTCCGAGAGGGGCGTTCGACGATCGATGCCGTGATGCGCCTTAGGGCCGTGACCGAGGAGGCCGTGAGCTGCGGCGGAGTGGTGTTGGCGGTGTCCTTGGACATCGCCAACGCCTTCAATAGTCTGCCATTCAGCTGCATCAGGGAAGCGCTCCGCTACCACGGAGTGCCGGAGTACCTGAGGCGGCTGGTGGCAGACTATCTTGAGGAGCGAACCGTCATGTACGAGGACCGAGATGGCGTCTTGAGACGCAGGGCCATGTCGTGCGGTGTTCCGCAGGGGTCTGTCCTAGGACCTCTCCTGTGGAACATCGGGTACGACTGGGCCCTACGAGGGCGTCTCCCCCCCTTGGCTGGGTGTAATCTGCTACGCGGATGACACCTTTAGCTCACGGCCCGGGGGGCTAACTTCCAGGAGGCGGCGCGCCTGGCCGCCACGGGAGTTTCCCATGGTGGTCGGGCGCATTGAGGCGTTGGGTTTGCGGGTGGCCCTGGATAAGACGGAGGCCCTATTATTTCATGGGCCCCGTCGTGGTCCGCCCGCCGGCGCCTCAATCGAGGTCGGCTCGGTCCTCGTACCGGTCCGGGCCCAGATGAGGTACTCTGGGTCTGGTCCTAGACGGTAGGTGGCTCTTCGACGAGCACTTCCGACAGCTTGGTCCGAAGCTGGTGGACACTGCCTCCGCCCTAGGGCGACTTTTGCCCTAATTTGGGCGGGGCCAGTGTTCCCACGAGGCGGCTGTACGCGGGGGTTGTCCGGTCCATGGCGCTGTATGGTGCACCGGTGTGGGTGGCGGCTCTGACCGCCCCGAATAGGGCGCGCCTCTGGCGCCCCCAGAGGATATTGGCGGTCAGAGCCATACGCGGATACCGCACGGTGTCCACCGAGGCGGCCTGTGCCTTGGCCGGAACACCCCCGGGGGATTTGGAGGCGGAAGTGCTCGCCGAGGTTTATCGGCGAGTGGCTGACTTCCGGGCGGAGAGCGGATTTCGCCCTCCGCCCGAAGACGTGCGCGAGTGGCGCGAAGCCGCTCGCCGAGCCACCATGGTGAGATGGTCGTTCCGGCTGGAGACTCCACGCGCTGGCTTCGCCGCCGTGGAGGCTCTCCAGCCGGTCATCGCCGAGTGGGCAGGGCGGCAGCACGGGACCCTTTCCTTCCGGCTGACGCAGGTGCTTTCCGGGCACGGTTGCTTCGGAAAGTACCTGTACTCGGTCGCTAGGAGGGAATCGAGTCCCGCCTGCCACCACTGCGACTGCGGTGAGGATTCGGCCCAGCACACGCTGGCGGTTTGCCCCGCATGGGCGACGCAGCGCCGGGCCCTCACTGCAGTCATCGGAGCGGATCTCTCGCTACCGGCCGTAATTCGCTCCATGGCCGGTAGCGACAGTTGTTTTACCGCGGTCGCAACCTTCTGCGAGGAGGTAATCTCGCAGAAGGAGGCGGCGGAGAAGGCCCGGGAGGACGACCTCCACTCGGACCTGATCCGCCGCCGGCGAACCGGGCGGCGGAGGCGCGCTCACCTGCGCCTCATGCCGCCCTGAGTGTGGCCGCGGGTGGACGGGATGGGTTCTCCCCTCCACCCGCATTAGTTGGCCAGCCGCGAGGGGGCGGCGTCCGCGTGTGCCGGACGCCGCCTAAAGAGAGGGTCCACTGAGACGGAGCCCGCGCCAGGAGCGGGCCGGCGCTGGGAGGGGTCCAGAAGGAGATAGCTACCTGGACCCCTTCCTAAACTGGAAGCGCAAAGAGGGCACACCGTGTGGTTTTAGTCGGTTCGAGTCCGACACACCGCCCCGCCGAACGAGAGCCCCGGCGGGGTGACGGTCCGAGGGGATTTCCACACGTAAAAAAAAAAAAAAAAAAAAAAAAAAAAAGGTTAGGTTGGGGTGCTAGGCTAGAAAACCTCCCCGTGGTGCACCCTGGAAACGCTGGCGATGGCACTGTTTCCTCCTTGTCTTCTTGGAGGAGAGGATTATCGCCAGCGGCTAATATTCTAGCAGAAGAGGTAGCCGTTCATCGGCTCTCGGGCAAGGCCTGGTCCAGCAGGGCGGGCGTGTCTGCCGGTTGCCCTGCTGGCTCTTCGCTCTTCGGAGCATGGAGGAGGAAACCTCGGTAAAAAACCAGAAGGTGGGGCCCTATAGGGGCCAGTTTCTCCGCTGGAGAAAGGAGGACGGGCTCGGCGTGTATTGACACTACCACCGAGCAGGCAGGGGGACGTAGTCTCCTTGTCACCGTCGGCATATCGTAATCCCGAGAAGAGCGCTGTGGTCAAGTCTCGCGGCTCTGATCGGGGAGGAGGGTCTTGGCTTAACCGCCCGGACCGCGAGGATGTAAACCTCTCTAAAAAATTCCCCGAATCCCGTGTTCTGGTGCGTGGCCAGGGGATGCATGGCTGATGGGTAGTTCAGTCGTAAGCGCACTCCCAGCCGGGGCACTTGCGGACCCCTCGGTTGGGCATAAATTTACGCTTACCCGGGTATTGGGGGATCTCTGCCCGGGTGGACCTTTAGTTCTCCCCCACTCGTGGGTTTAAATATGGAAGATGAAATAAAAATTATAAGAAACAAAGGATCGAAACAAAATACGACTAAGGCAAGCAAACTGGAAAAGGAATCGGTGGGAAGCAGGGAGTTCAGGAAGACTGGTGGAGTGGATTTGTCGTCCACATCCACAAGTGAGGTGGTGTTGGGAACGCCTATCTCGGTGGGGCTCCCAGTAGTAGTCTGTAGTAGACTGACTGCTGGGAGCCGAAGATCGGAGCGCTTGCGCTCCAAATCTGCCACGACTGGCGTGGGTGAAGGCCCCAGCGAGAGGACGAACAGCTCGGAGCGCATGGAGGTGGAAGCGGGACCGAGCGAGAGCCGCAAGAGGGAACTCTCGAGGGATGGGGAAGAACACCCATCC